TCGTATCCCCGAGTACATCCAAAAGGTGTGCAAGCGAGATCCCCTCAGCGGCAAGGTCGTCACTGGAGGTATTGTCACTGTTCGTGACTCGAGCTGGATCATGAGCTGGACCGTGAACCGACAGCCTCACTTCAAGAACCAACCCAAGGGTTCGGTTGTCGGCTGGATCTATGGTCTGCTCGTCGAAAAGCCAGGAGATTACGTCAAGAAGCCCATGCAGGAATGCACCGGAGAAGAGATTGTCCAGGAGTGGCTGTACCATCTGGGCGTGCCGACCAGCGAGATCGCTACTCTGGCTGCTGACGCTGTCAAGTGCGTTCCTACCATGATGCCATACATCACCGCCTTCTTCATGCCACGACAGGCTGGAGATCGTCCTGACGTTGTTCCGGCTGGTTCTCAGAACTTTGCCTTTATCGGACAGTTTGCCGAGACGACCCGTGACTGCATTTTCACGACCGAGTATGCTGTGCGTACGGGAATGGAGTCTGTCTACCAGCTCACGGGCGTTGACCGCGCTGTCCCAGAGGTGTTTGGCTCGACTTACGATGTCAGAGTCTTGCTAGATGCCATGTCTCAGTTGAGAGATGGCAAGGAGTTGGCGCCTTGGCTGCCGGAGCGTATTCGTGCGTTCTTGATGTCCAAGTTGCAAGGATCTCAGATTGGACAGATGCTGCACGAGTATCACTTGGTCTAAGGGTCAAGTTTACGGTTATGTTTGTCGAGTTTGATGAGAATGATGAGAGTGATGAGTTACGTTTTCAGATTAGTTAGCAGTTCAGATTCCCTTAGTCTTCGAATTTCAATCGTCTTTTACTCATGCAGAGATCGCCCATGCATACCGTGCCGAACTTGACAGCTGCTATTTGGGCACGCCACCTTGATGGGTTGACGGAACCGGTAACCACTCTTCCCACGCCCGAGGTGCCTAGGTACCATAGATCGCCCTTGCATTAGCGCGCTTCTTAAATGAATGCCATCTCATTGGAGATGTTTCTAGCTCTAGTTAGTCTCTACTGCAACCTAACTCGGATATCTTCTAAAATAGAAAGCTTCCCTATATCCGCGGAGCCTCAACCACCTCGGGGGACCCAATGCCAAGTATCATCTCAAATATCATCTATCCAGTGTATCTCATAGGTGAATGTTTATAGTCAGTGAAAATTAAGCCTATTTTCTATCCTCTAAAAAACTTCTTATGCTTTGATATTCTATTAAATAAAGCAAGCATAACTAGTGCTAGGATGCAAGCCACGTATTGTCCCGGCTATCTTCCACCTAAAGAAATCCAGAGTACTTCAAAAAAAAAATTTACTTTACGTGTCCTATAGAACTAGATGCAGGAATCTCTCTTGTTGTTAGGGGAGACGGTAACTGGACCACGACTCCACGAGGCGGTGGCTAAAGGCGCGCACAAGCTCGTGAGATAAAAAAGGTGCTAATCAACCAGGTAGATTTTCTCTCAACGCAACAGGTCTCTTTCATTAAGCAAAACCCGATAATTCCGAAGTCCCAGAAACGATCGTTCAATGATTCTTCAAAAGACAGTCGCTCACAAAGTCTTGTCGCCCGGAGGATTGATCCCGAACGGATATCACCTGACAACGATTTGACCGTGTATTTCGGCCACCATAGTCCTCAAAGATCTGCCTTGTTGGTACAGGTACATGACGCTTCCAGGTCAGATGCGCGGAACAAAAGGACTTGAGCTTCCCCATCAGATATCCACCTCCGAGACCAGGTAGCCAAGCCTAACAAAAGTCCCCTAGGCGTGCTGCGGAGTAGCGTATCACGACTACCTTGTACTTGCGTTGCGTCATCACCCGAATAAGTCGAGGTGTTGGGCCCTTGCTCTCATATGTCTACCTTGCCACCGACCCTTGAGAGTCAGAGTAAAATGACCAATAGCTACTCATCCACCCCTCAGACGTTTCCTTGCAAATGTTTCTTTCGCAAAAAACCCATCAATCCATCAATGAAACTCTGAGGCGGGGATCCTTGCCCCTGGCAGGCCCGGGATTATGCATATTCCTAGTGTCGTCTTGGCATGTAACGCTGATAAAAGAATGTCAGCACAGCTTCTTTTTCGACCTTCCCGATTCAAGCCTGATCTTCCTGGCCGCCGATGGAATCCCCGAGCCACCTTCCAAAGGTTGATAGCTCCGCGATAACTCACGGGGTGGGGTTATTGCGCGAGATGCCCTGCGTGACGTTAATGAGGGACTTGTTGATGTCGATGGAGTACAAGTGGTACCATGTATATTAAGCTGCTTTCCCCTCCTAAGTCTTTTTTTGGTGTTCCCATCATTGTCTTGAGACAGGAATCCTACCTTGAAATCGACAATGAAGTTGACTACAGCAGCTACTCTTCTGACGCTGCTCCCTTCTTTGGGAGCAGCTGGCAAGGACCGCAGACCACAGGTCAAATCTCACAAGCTCCAGAAGCTCATTACTGAGAAGGGGTATGTTCTCATCCAGTGGCCTGAGATTTGCATACTAACTGTCTCAGTTTGATGAGAAACCTGCAAAAGCTCAACGACATTGCCTACGCCAATGGCGGAAACCGCGCTTTTGGTCTTCCCGGATATGACGCATCTGTGGATTTCATCTACAGGGAGCTGAAGAAGCTCAAGGGTTTCAAGGCGTGGAAGGAGGATTTCCCTGCCCTCTATACCGACACCACAGCTGCAGAGGTCACAGTCGATGATGAGACGTTCCGCACTGTCGCCCTGACCTACACACCCAGCACTCCTGAGGAAGGTATCACGGGAGAGCTGGTTCATGGACCCGAGGGCGAGGCTGGATGTTCGGCCGACAACTACGAAGGCCTCGGTGCAGAGGGCAAGATTGTCCTTGTTGAGCGCGGTCGTTGCCCTGATGCCACAACCTTTGCTGGAAAGTTGAAGGCTGCTGCCAAGGCAGGTGCCGTTGCTGTTGTCCTCTACAACTCTGATCCTGCCAAGCTCACCGCCGGATCTCTCTCAAACCCCAACCCTGATGAATATGTTCCTGCCGCTCTCATCGACCAAGAGCCGGGACAAGCGTTGAAGGCCCGGCTCGATGCAGGAGAGACAGTCGAGGCTTACGTCCAGATTCAACAGCTTATTGAGGAACGCATCACGCAGAATGTGTTTGCTGAGACCAAGGGAGGTGATGCCAAGAATGTGGTCATGCTTGGAGCTCATCTAGATTCGGTCAAGGCCGGTCCTGGCATCAACGATGATGGATCGGGTACTTCTCTTATCCTCGAGGTTGCCAAGGGTCTGCAGCACTTTTCTACCAACCTCAAGGTCAAATTTGGTTGGTGGGGAGCTGAGGAGAACGGTCTTTGGGGAAGCAGGGCATATGTCAACGGTCTGACTCCTCAAGAGGTTGACAAGCTTCTCGTCTACCTCAACTTTGACATGGTTTCGCGGGGTTTCTATGGAGTTTTCGACGGTACTGGCGAGAGGGTTGGACCTGGTGGTCCTCCTGGATCCGATGTGGTTGAGGATCTTTTCGTGGAGCACTTTACTTCCAAGGGTATCGAGGTTACTCCCGTTGGTCTCACTGGCGGCACTGACTACGTTCCTTTCCTTGAGGTCATCAACAAGCCCGTTGGTGGTCTCTTCACAGGTACTGGAGCAGAGCAGGATGCTTGCTACCACCAGGCCTGTGACAACATCACCAACCCTGTTCCCGAGACAATCACCATCAACGCCAAGGCAGCAGCCCATGTGCTCAGTATCCTTGCCGTTGACGGTAAGGACCTGATCCCCAAGACTCCTTCCAACGTTACCACGGCGTCCATCAAGAGAGTGCGAGACGCTGCTTCACTTCACGAACATGACTTTACGGCGGTTTTGGGCAAGTTCTGCGATCACGATCTTATTTAAGGGTGTCTCACGGACAAGCCTTTATTATTGATGAATATATGAGAGTATGAGAGTTGAGCAATGGTACAACGATGGGACTATCGAACGGGGTGACGACTTGAATCAGTGGCTCCCAGCCAATCTGACGCAATGGGGGTCCCGGCTAGTAGCAGGATAGCAGTTGGTTTGGTTTCCAAGTACATAGGTAGCGCTTGAACAGTGGCTCACAAGCCTCAAGTACAAAGAGAAAATATGAATATTGATGACCCAACTTTATCCAATAAGAGAATTTCTTCCTGTTGTTGTGAGAACTAAAGTGCCGCTTGATAATGTTCACAGTTCACGTGAACTGATGCTTCCAAATAGGTATTGACATGAAGAGTTTGTCATATTTAACTATTCCAGGATTCAAGTGCAACGCTAACTTGATGATATTTAATAACGGCCCTCCTGGGCAAGTTGCTCCTCAGCCTGTCGCTGAGCATGGCGCTTTGCCTTTTCACGATCGACATAGTCCAGACCCTTGGTCTCAACCTCGCGGTCCACAAAGGCACCGATAGCTCCTGCAAGAATCTCCTTTGCTCTGGCGTGTGAGTCGGGGTGACCTAGTGATCGTGTTAGTCAAGTCGTGAGGATAGTCTACCAAGTTCTTGTCACTGACCATTTCGAGAGACGTGGTCTTCGTATGCCTTGGCCGCCTCGAATGCGGCAGCACCTCCGAGAAGCTCGTGAGTCCACTCAGCTTCGTGAGGGCGGTTGACCACCTGGTCGTAGGCCTGAGCCTGATCGGAGTCGCCTATTGTGTGTCAGTCGGTGATCCAGTCGCATATTTGAAGGTCTTCTCACTATCAAACCAGCCCATAATGGATACTTTGAAAAGGAAGATGAAGATTTATCAAGAGTTTAGAGTGTAGTGTTTAATGGTGAAGAACCAGCTTAGAGAATTCAGAAATCGAAAAGGGTCCAGATGGCCCTTCTTAAGCAAAGACAGAGTTTGTGTATGCGCGACAACAGGGTGCAATGCTGTCATTGCGGAGTCGTCTCAAACAAAGCCTCTTGCGTATTCCTGACATTCTCAGACAATGTTCGACAGCTGTTCCAGATCGATCATGATAGGGCACATCGGATCTCACGGCTCGGTTCGTGATGCTCTCGGCAAGCGCCGTGCCGAAGTCTCGGATATTCGGCGCTGCCGGGATACGTCATGTTCAGCTCTCAACGCCAGACTCCACCATCTCCGCGTAAGCATATGGCCGTCAGACACTCGGCAAGTGGTCTGCAGTTTCTACTGTCCCTCTTTTGAGAATGGCGAGATCATTGTGTGTTAGACGCCGTCGTCTCAGACATATGCCGTGTTTACCGTACACCTCACCGCTCAGCTGGACACTCGCACGCTAGGAATGTTATTGTCACAAGCTTAATAGTATGGATGCTGATGGCTTGCTTTGTAAGTTGCGCCTATGCAGCCTCTGAGCCCAGCCTTGGTAGGGTGCAATTGCAGGTTCAAGCTAGCACCGAATCTACGAGTCCCTGCAGGAGAACCAGGCTTGGCAAGCATCAATGCAAGCCACAGTCTGAGAGCACAGCATGTGAGATCATGGCTGGTGGACAATTACCAGAACAATGCCGCCTACGGTGAGTTCGTTCCATTCAGCGGAGGCTACAGAGACAGCATTTGGGGAGCCCATCAGGACGGCAGCATGGCGGAGGCAATGGTTGTCGGCCCACTGGAGAGGGGGAGCTGCGTCCTGCCACCAAAGCATGGGCAGGAAAGCTGCCAACCGCACGGATGTGATTGGGATCCAGAAGAAGCTCTTCTTCGAGAATTCTTAATAGAGGGCCAGGATATTTACTTGGCTTGCAGTTTATCTACAGTTCACGGCGGAGATGCACCAACATGGGCAAGCATTGACCTCACGAGAGCAGCAGTATCCGACATGGCGCGTATCTGCAAGGCATGGCGGGGCAATGTCGTAGGAGCCGGTGATCACATCAAAGACGATGCAATGGGGATAACACCATGCTCAGTCTGGAGCAGGGGGGTAGAGGGAACATTGCAGAGGATGCTAGCCCACAGCGATACTCCTCCATCAATGCCGCCCCCAGCTTTCGGGGTTCGGGTTCGTTCGTTCGTTCGTTGGTTTGAGGGGCAGGGAGGCCGCACGCTGAATGGGGGCCGACCGTGAACGGAGAATCTGGTGTCTTAGGAGGGCTTTCGGCATCGTCAAGGAGGCGCTGGAGCAGCATTGGGGGCAGAGTCGAATTGGGAAGGGGAGGCATCGACAGACGCGGGGATGATTGTGTGATGTCAGCAGGTTGAAGTCGCTGGGTGATTGACGCGACCGCGCTTTTGATGCATTCTCCAAGAGGTCGGTTCATCGGGTTCGTGTCTCGTTCGAGTGAGCTTTGCGATTGCGGATCGAGGCTTCTTTAGCATTGCGCGTCCATAGCGAAATACTAAAGCGCAAGAAGTCCATTGGCAACTCGAAGGGCAGCGACGAGCGCGATGGAAGGTGTTGGACCTTGGTGAGGGGGAGGGGCTCGGGACGGGTCGCGCCCATCGATCGATCAACCCAGCCACATAATCTCTGGCCACCTACCCTATAGTGGAAGAGAATCAGGTATTGGCAACTATCTTGCGCAACCTATATATACCTGATGGACAAAGACTAAAATTTATTTTAATTAAACCTATCAAAGCATAGGACTATTCTCATAGCCATATAAACATTGAATGACTATATCCGTAAGCTTCTAGCTCGTGAACACTGTTTATCGCAAAAAAGGATGCTTTTGTCAACGCCCTACCAATGTTCACAACAATGATGAAAGAACGTACATAGAATACGGCATTTAACAACGCGATAGTTAGGTAACATACTCCATACCTATTAAACCTGCGCAATTAGTTCTAACAAAACTCTTTTAATTGCTTCAAGAAAGAGGCCTACCCTGCCATGTACAAGTCCTGAAAATGAGGACGACATTGGGCTCTAATCTTTCTATCTGATGAAGTTATTGCAACTCTCTTCCATCGGTCATAGTTTCATATTGGGAGGACAACCCGTAAAGCCACTCGTCTTGGCAGATATGGGAGATTACAGCCACCTTTCGTCTCCAGTTCCAAGGTGGCTATGACGCTGCCGAGGATGCCGAGCTCTGCCAATAAGGCCACGTCAGCTGTTCTGGTGACTCTGATTGGCTAATCACTATCTCGCGTCAACAGGGATATCGAGAGCCAAGTGACGCAACCATCCAGCGACCTCTTGAATAAATTAAAGCGCGTGTTTTGCCAAGGTTTCATCTTGAATCCAGCGTATCCAACATGTTCACGTATGTCCAAATTGTGGGCCAAGACTTTCCAAGAGTCTGGGCTCTTGGTGACGAGCGGGGTTTATCGTTGACCATGCAACAGAGCCAAAAGTCAGACGACGGCGCGTTTTTTTTATTTTTTCTATGACCGCTACTAACCCCTAACCACCTTCTTTTTTGTCTGTGTCGGAGGAAAAAAGGGTCAACAACCATCGATATGAGGTTGGTTGTAGGCGTTGCCAACGCGGTCGCGTTGCTGTTTGGGGTTGTTTCAGCCACTTCCGATCATGTCACGACTATTTGTGATAATCAGAGGTTTGGCGAGTTGAACGATTCGCTCATGTGTGAGTAAACAACTGATGTCACACGAATCTGCACCTAGCTGACTCTTCACATGCAGACTATCCAAATGCATGGAACGACAAAAGCCCCAAAGACGGCTTCGTGTGCATGAGAGTTGACAATTCCACGCTTGCCGTTGACACAATCTGGAACTGGGATAAAGACATTCAAGACGTCCACTCGTTTCCATACGTGCGATTCAGCCACAAAGATATCCCCCTGCGCCTCAGCAGTCTTCAATCTATCCGCCTCGCGACTAAATGGATGTACACTCCTGGTAGTCCCAGTGAGCCGCCTCGCGAGTTTACTCAGTCTGTGTGGGCAGAGAATAAGGCGGAGCTGCAGAGAGACGGAGTACAGGCCAATGCCGCCTGGGACTTCTTCCTCGACGATGACCGCAATAGGACTCTGTATCCTCAAGATGCGGCTATCGAGTTTATGGTCTGGCTTGGTCGGGTGGGAGATCCGTGGTGGCTTGGTCGACAGGAGAATACGATACTCTCCAACGTGACACTTGGAGAGACCGAGTTGTGAGTTCCGGCTTCTCGATGATTTCTTCTCAGCACTGACAATACCAAGCTCATTATACTATGGCCGCAACTCAGGTGGCACCCACGTATTCACTGCCGTCACTCGCAACGGCGAGGACGTCTTGTCCTTTGACGAAGACTTCTATCCTCTTTTTGAATACATCCTTGAGCAAGCACACAAACACATTGACACACCGAATGATCTACCCAAGGATCCTTGGCTAGGAATAGTCGAGTTCGGTACAGAAACTTGGCTTTCAGACGGAAATGTCACTTTCACTGCTGCTGATTTCAGCATGGAACTGAACGGGCCGGTCAGGAATAGGACCAAGACCAATTCTAGTGATGACGACAGTACGGGTGGAGATGACAACTCCACTGATAGCAACGACAAGAACTCGTCCGATGATGAGGAAGACCACGCGTCGACCATAAGCAGGTCGATGCTTGGCTATGCGCTGTCGGCGATTTTGATGATCAGTGCCTTTTGCGTTTAACATGGCTTGTGAAGTTAGAATAGGGGATCTCACGTACTTTAGAAAGGCATGGGAATAGACTAGATTTTTATCTTCCAGCTACCGTCAAGACCTAACTCGTTCTTGGCATAATTCCTTCATCTCTCTTGTTTTCCGAGAACCCAAAACCGAGACCCATGATACGACTGGCAACTGAGCTGTTTTCCCAAAGGAAAGACGGTAATTATGACGTGATATATACTACAGAAATATGCAAAGAATCAACCCCGAGCCGCTCTTGCTGCATTTGTGACAAGTCATCATCCAGTATAGTACGGTTAAAATCCCTCGCTTGCATGATGCGTTGGCAGGACAACCCGAATCCTTCCGTCTAAGGAGCGCGAATTTCCCTCCGTCAACTTGCTGATCCTGTGAAATCCTCTCAAGTGCATTGTCGCCTGTACTGCTAACAGAATGTCGTCAACAGTGTCGGTGGCTACGGAAAGCCGGCTGTGGAGGGCCCTCTTTGCCCTCCCGATCCTCGCCTTCGCTGGCCTCATGATACGAGCATTTGCGATGGGCGAACCAATTGCTCCCGTACTGCAAAACATGCTCGAAAACTCCCAGTTTACGTGGGATGGAGGCAGCGTCAAGATTCTCAAGGAATTCTACGGCATCCCCCCTTTGGACGAGATCTTTGCTCATATCACGGTTGCCTTTGCTCAGTTGCAGTTCTTTTCCGATCCACGAGCATATTGGCACTCGCTGGTCTTTCTTACCGACTTTGCTGGAATGTATATGGTATTCTTGATCGAGGGATATAGGCCAGCGAACAAATTTCCTCTTGTACGATTGTACGTGTCTATCCTAGATCATGACCTTGATAGCTCGGTTCTTCTAACCTCCTCTAGCCCACTTGTTATCCCACTTCTCTCACAACTCATGGGGATCGGCGTTGTTGCTCCCGTGTACTTCTTCTTCTTTTATGTGTTCACGCCAGCCTATAAGCTTACCACCCCAAGTCTTCATCGTCCGGGGGTAGCGCCTTGCATCGCACTGTTACCAACAATCGCACTGGCCTACTTTTCTTCGCACTTCCCGTCCTACTTCCATCCTTCTCTTGAAGCGAGAAACTGGTGGAACTGGATTTGGCAGCTTTTCCCAGTATGGGGATCATTCACCATGCTTGCAATCTCCAAGACAATCTCCGGTCTTAGCAAGACACGATCGACCAAAGATGATTCCAATCAGGAGCTAGTCATCCTTAGAGTCACCGTATACTTGCTTGCATTCATCAGCACGGCTACATGGTGGTACACTATTCCAAAGATTGAGGGCCCAGTATCTGATGTTTTCATGCCCCAATATTTCGTCGAGTCCCCCCAAGAACCAGACGAGTGCCTTCGAACCATCATTCAATATGATTACATATGCACATACTCGGCTGGTTTCCTCTGGCTTGCATATCACTTTAGCGATCTGGAGAAGGCTGGTATCTGCGAAGTGCCCTGGATTCGAGCTTTGGTAGTTGCTGGTATCGTGGGGGCTGTTGTTGGTCCTGGGTCGCTCTTCATTCTAATTTGGCTTTTGAGGGAGGAACTTCTCGCGTCGCAAGCATCAGTAAGAGAGCCTGAAAAGTTCTGAAGCATATTCATGAATGGCTATGGAGATCTTGTGGGTGATAGCCAAGTTACCTCATATGGGTTGTTGGTTGAGGGCGCGGTATATGTAATGACTCATTCTGTCTCATAGCCATCTTTGTCAATGAGTTGTAAAGACTATTGAGCATTGCATACATATGCAGTCTGACATGACCCATCTTGTCAAGGTCTAATAAGACGGGCAGACTTTTAACCGACCTGCGTGGTACATCTGCCTGGCATTGCCCTCGAATCTTATGACCCCACTTTCGACTCATTCTCACTCATTCTTCTTCTTTCTACCTGACCATGCCCCAACTTCGATACAACGTGGCGACCAGCCTCGATGGCTACATAGCCTCGCCTGACGGCTCAGCTGATTGGATTGTCGACGATCCAACGATTGACTTCAAGGCACTATATGAACAATTCGACTTCTTTGTCATGGGCCGAAAGACGTACGAAACTATGCTGTCGTTTGGAGAACCGAACGAGAACCCTCTGTCCAACCGGCCGAAGAAGAGTGTGATAGTGGCAAGCCAATCTTTGAAGCCAGAAGATTTCCCCGATATCACTATCCTATCGATGAACGTACTGGAATTCATTCGCCAATTGAAGTTGGGAACTGGGAAGGACATCTGGCTCATGGGAGGCAGCAAGCTTGCAACTCAGTGTATGCGTGCCGGCTTGGTTGATACAGTCGAGGCAGCAGTCATGCCCGTGGTATTAGGGGATGGCATCAAATTGATGGAGGCAATTGACTCGACTGAGAATCTGCCTGTCAGGCTCGATCTACTGGGAAGTGAGCGGTTGGAGAGTGGAATCATTATGACCAGGTACGCAGTCATACAGGGACCATGCAAATAACTGTGGCCAAAGGAAGGCGGGTAGTATGCCTGGCCTAATTGGAAAATTACACCAGGTCGATGGAGTTGCTGAAGCCTTGATTGAGACTCATTGGTTGGATCGTAAGCGGGCAAGCCTACAGCACCGCCACTTCATAAGATGGAGAGAGCCTTGAGTCCGGGATAGCGAATTAAGAGTGATAGACCCACTGAATTGGACGGATCTGCCGACTTTAAGCCCAATTGTGTTCCGAGTGGCATGTGTAACTTGACATGGGTTGTTTGTGTTCCGTGGATATCGAGTTCAAGAGGGTGTGAGGGCTGCCATTACGCCCTTAGCGCAAGTGTTCTCCAATAGAAATAGTACGTTAACAAATTACTACCAATCATACCATGCGGATAGCTAGTGATCTAGCAGCGGGTCGAGCCGACGCAAGCAAGGAGATGCCTGTCAATACGCTACCACCAATCAGAGCGCCCTTCCAAATGAGGGAGCATTTCCCGCCCCATGCAGGCCTGACTCACGTCGGGCTGAGTGACGACAGCGATGACTGGGTCAACGGGGGACAGGCATTCTAGACTCTCAATAAGGCTGCATATGGCGGCTGACGCCAAGGTGGCGGTAGGCGGTGCAAAACGGGTTGATTGTTTTTAAGAGAGGCGAAATTCCCTTACTCTAGAATTCTTGTTTCGAACCATGAGCTCTTCGACAAGAATCAACCTTCAAGATACCGACCAGCTTCGGTCAAGCTCTGCCGCTGACACAATGCCGTTAATTCTTCAAATTTCCCGAGCCCTTCACTTCAGCTGCGCCATTGTTGCTGTGGCCTTTGTTTCTGCCATCGCACTTGTCAATTTGGGAGCTGCCAAGGATACTAAACGGAAACCTCGAGATATTTCTCGTCGCAATCATGTTCCTTATATCCTCTTGATTTTGTCCTACGTCACCGAGGGCATATTCACAATTTTGCAAAGGGGCGAATCCGAAATAAAAGAGGCCCGGACTTCTCATCTTGTGGTGCTGATTTCTACCTGGGCGTTCATCTGGACTCAGCAAAAGACATCCCGATATCTGACATTGGGAACATCACTCCTCACACTGGCATTCGAGATACCGCTGTTGATTCTCACGGCTCTTTCCGACAAGAAGGGAGCTTATTTCCCTTATCAAGTATCATGCCAAGCCGTCAGACTTTTGCTTCTGCTGTTCCTTGCAGTACACCAACTCTACAGACGCAATATCGAGACCCGCAACTCTACAAGAATGGAAGAGGAAACGCCATTCCTTCAAGCCCAGTCCCCGGGCGGAACACTTGGTGTGCCTTCCTACGGAACCGAGGCCTCGATTGCAACCTCTGCGTCCAGCGACTCCGAGGACGACACGATCACCGAGGCAAGCGACTCTGAGGATGACACCGCCAGCATCAAGCGCCGCCGAGCAAAGAGGCTCAAGGAGACGGGAGGCTGGTGGGGATATCTCTCGGACTTTTCCATACTTGTTCCATTCTTCATCCCAAAGAAGGACCGCAAAGTTCAATTCTCCATCCTGGTTTGTTTCTTTTGCATCGCAGCGAACCGAATCTTCAATGTCATGATCCCTCGTCAACTGGGCATTGCCGCTGATGAGCTACTTGAGCACAAGGACCCTTTCAGGGCGCTGTTTATCTGGTTTATTCTGAGCCTCCTTTCTGTGGAGGGCCTCGTTGGACTGATGGAGGAACTGGCCAAGATCCCTATCAAGCAGTTTTCCTACCGACAACTTACCAATGCTGCATTCGGCCATGTTTTGTCTCTTTCCATGGACTTTCACTCTGATAGAGATTCAGCGGAAGTCATGAAGGCCATTGAGCAGGGAGAGTCGCTCACTAACTTTCTCGAAATACTCATCATCGACCTCCTACCTACGTTGGTGGATGTGGCCATCGCATTTGGCCTCTTATACTGGAAGTTCAACATCTATGTTTCCCTCGCTATGGCTACAGCAATAGCTGCATATATCACTGTAGAGGTGATAACTTCTAAATGGAACATCAACAACCGGCGCAAATCCTCTCACACTCAGAGAGAAGAGGCACGTGTCATGCACCAGGCCGTTCAAGGCTGGCAAACAGTTACCTACTTTAACATGCTTGGATTTGAGCGAGGGCGTTTCGGTCAAGCTGTTGAAAACAAGTTGGCTGCGGGTCGCGTCTGGGGCAAGATGGATGCCTACACTGAAATGGTGTTGAACATGATGATTCCCTCGACCTTTTTCGTCCTGGCGAGTCTTGTCATTTACGATATTTCCCAGGGGCGGTCAACTCCGGGCGATTTTGTCTTTTTGGTTCAGTACTGGGAATACATGATCTGGCCGATCAGACTCATCTCGCATAACTATCGGAGTCTTGTGTCTGACATGGTTGATGCGGAACGTCTTCTCTACCTTCTCCGTACAAAACCAAGTGTTGTTGACAAGGAGGGTGCCACGGATCTTGTCAACATCCAAGGACACGTTGCGTTTGACCATGTTCACTTCCACTACGATGAAAGGAAGCCGACGATTCGAGACCTTTCCTTCTCGGTTGCGCCTGGGCAGACGGTGGCATTTGTTGGAGAGACTGGAGCTGGCAAGTCTTCTATCATGAAGCTACTCTTGCGATTCTACGATGTCAAAGATGGATCTATTACCATCGATGGTCATTACATTCGCGACATAACTCTGAGCTCTCTTCGAAACGCTCTTGGCGTTGTTCCGCAAGACCCATTGCTGTTCAACGCGTCTATTCTCGAAAACCTTCGGTATGCCCGACCTACAGCGACAGACAAGGAGATTCACGAAGCTTGCCGTGCTGCTGCCATTCACGACAAGATTCTTTCCTTTGCCGACGGATACAACACCAAGGTGGGCGAACAGGGCGTGAAGCTGTCAGGAGGAGAGATACAGAGACTAGCGATTGCCCGAGTTTTCTTGAAAGACCCTCCCATCCTAATTCTGGACGAGGCAACGAGTGCGGTAGACACAAACACCGAGTCTAGCATCCAGGGTGCGTTGGATACACTGAGGCGGTCAAGATCAACCTTTGTAATCGCACATAGGTTGTCAACCGTGGTCAACGCGGACCAAATTCTGGTCATTCATGCGGGAGAGATTGTCGAATCTGGCACGCATACTGAGTTGATCTCGCGCGGAGGAAGGTATACAGAGTTGTGGAATAAGCAGGCTGGCAAGACACCAGCACTTGAATGAACGGTGGACGTTTTTAGCATCACATAGGTTTTGGGTTGGATTAAATAAAATTCTATTGTTTTCGGGTAAACAATTTCTAACATCCGTATTCTTACCGCTATTTGTTTTCAAGATAAGCCATATCTCCATGCTTGGCTTCTATATATCCTGTAACGATTAATCATAGACAGATCCCTTTGACCACTTCGATCTCGCTCTAATCCTCTTTCCATATCTATAAAACACAAACGGAACGGGTATCAGCAACGCAGCAAACCCACCCGTGATACTCGAACTGGGCCCAACCCCGATGTTGTGATACATGGGCGTGACGACGAGAGGAAACGCAGCTGCGAAACAAGAACGGAGAAAAGTGTTTGCGGCGACAGCAGATGCCGCGTAGGTTTGGAAGGTGTCAACTAAATAGTTGAGTGCTGCTTGGAAAATGGTAAAGAATCCTGTGCCGAGGAGGACCAGGCCTATGCAAGGAACGACCCAGTGAATGTCTTTTTGTGCAGTCCATCCTGTCAGGAATTGGCCACCGCAGAAGATGAAAGACCCCATCATCATTGGGGGAAGTCGCTTCTCGGGAACAGCTCGGTTTCCGGCTGCGTGATAAGCTTTGTTGTATAGCAGCTGGTTGTAAACGTTGGCGCCACAACCAAGAACAGCTCCTATAAAGATACAGAGGAAAGGCAACTCGGACACGAGAATACCCCAGCCTTTGATTTCTCCAAAGATAATAGGAATGGCGCCAAGTTGCATGTACAAAATGCCATAGCAGAAACTGGCGTACAGCGCAACCAAGAAGCAGATTGGCGTGGAAAGCAGTTGGACAGGTCGGACAAGGAACTTCTGGGCGAGCTGTGAGATGCTCACATCCCATTCTTCAAACTTGGCGTGCAATGCCCAGTTTCCAGTCTCGTGGCGTAAACGACGGGCCTTGTATACAAGAAGCCGGGGCGGGTAACTCTCATCAACGAAGATGACTGCCAACGTGAGGAAGATTACCTGGACAATGCCTGTGAGGTACTCGGCCCAGCGCCATCCAAGTGATGGCTCTTGCACAACAGCAGCAGAGACGATAGGGCCTTGAAATAAGTAAGTATCTGGAAACTTGACTCGTGAGAGCTCTGATGAAGTGCGAATGGAACTTACCGAGGACTGGCCCGCCAACTACGGCCATGGCGTAACCAGCCATTGCTATTCCTCTCTCAGATGGTGAAAATAGATCTCCAAGAACGCCGCCAGTATTTGTTACTGGCGCCGACGCAAAGAAAGCCCCAAAGAAGCGTGTCAACATTAGAGTCTGGAAATCTTTTGCAGTTGCGCTTCCAAAACTGAAACTGATGGCGATGAACATGGGAATAAGCACAGCCAACCTCCGCCCGTAAACCTCACTGAGAGGTGCCCATAGGAGAGGTCCGATTCCGAAGCCGAGGAGGAATATGGTAGTACCCAGCGTCGAGACTTGCTTAGAGACGTGAAAATGCTCTGCGACTTGGGCTGTGCCTGCAGAGTATGAAGATGATGCCCAGGTGGCTGACATGGTGACAAGACCATAGAGTAAGGTGGTTGTAACCTTTTTCTTGGTTGGCCAGTTTAACGGCCGATATGGATCGTCAGGGCCATCAAAGTCAACAAGCTCGTCTTCAGTCGTTTTGATATGAGACAACGGATGGGTGAACTGGGGAACTGGGCGACTTCGAATACGTGAAAGGATGGATTCTCGTCGGGAGATGGTTCTTGTCAAACCAAGTCCTGTCGTGTTGCCGTTCATAGAGTAATGGGTAGAATTAGCGTCGTTTCCGGTTCGGGAATGGCTGCTTGATGAAATAGACGATTCTTCATCGCTGAACTCCCCTAATGAGGACCCTCTTTCATCGGCGAGATGCATATTGATAAACTGCAAACCATTCCAGGCGATGCGTGACTCTATGATTAAACAAAATCAAGAAACCAGGAGGCGAGAGGAAGACGAAAGGATTTTACTTGTCCTTTAAGTGGTCGATCGGGACCGGTTTCGGCCGTCACATCTTAATCCCGGCACCAACGTCTCCGCTCCGAGAGGCCGGCCGGCACTCTGGTTCCGTCTGGGGCCAATTGGGTGACGTCACTGGTAATTCTTTAGGTGTGATTTGCAGAGATTTGTCGGCTATTTTGCTGCGTCACCGAGTGCTTTTCGGATATAAACGTTTGGAAGAGTCGTTGTTGGCCTTCTTTAATGACGGCGTTTGGTCATTAGGCCGAGGTCGCCCAGCATGTGACGAAAAGGCATTTTGATTTTTATAAAGGGGTCAAGTAGCCGAGTCGGCAGTGCTTTATCTTGACCGTCTTTCTTCGCTCTGGCTGTGAGAGGATTAGCTTCCTTGTACATTAACAATCCGATAAAAGCATGGGCATCAATTGATTTTACTTCTCTTAAAGATGCGACCCCAGACGGACTGGATTTTGGACAATTTACAAGACTTTACTGACTTTGACCCCAAAACATCTCAATCGCTGTCAAGCTCAGTTTGCGGCCTCATTATTGCCTCCAGTTCTGAGAGACCCAATGATCTCTACAAATAAATAGGACTCGCCGGGAATGGTGGGTCCATCGTCATGGAGTGGACGAGGAAGCTCAAAAGGAGCCCCTTGTTCCTCATCAAAATCCGGCCTCGAAGACTTTGAGTCACTCGGAGGTGGCGAAACTAGTTATCACCTCCGAATCTCTCGCAAAAGCTCCTGAGCAGACTTCTGCACAATTTAGGGGAATAAATGAATTATGACCCATTTCTCAATCCTCACTGGTCGAAATAGTGTCTACAGTCAGGTGGATGGCAAAGGCTCACAGCCTGCATGCACGCTTGCGCCCTTTGTAAAGCATTTCCTGCACTTGGACCTAAAGAGATTGAATAGGCATGAAGTTTTATGCAAGAGAGATTAAATTAATACAGAAACCTGACGAGGCACCCGCGTGACCTACGTCGCCAGTCTCAGGCGAACCATGTTGGTTGTCTTGCCACATCAGAGATTTCCTTCGACTTTTATTTGTACACTTTCCTTTCGTGTTGGAGCCGAGTTTTATTTACCGCTGAGGCGCAGTATTCCGCAGGCTGAATGGCAGTGCAAGGGACCACCTACGCAACCGCGACCCAACAACAGCGACCACGCTTCAGCCCTCAGGCGAGTCGTGGCTCTCCAGATAAGGCCTCATTTGTTTGCCTTGTATGACTAACCCGCTTCAGCGAAGCTGAGAGGCTTAGAATTTTTGGATGGGACACACTGTAGAAAAGGCCCAATAGCTGTTGGCTTCCACGCGCCAGAAGGTCTGACCCGCATGGTAAGGCATCGGCTGAAAGGTGTGGCTGCATCTACAAGGCTCTTAACGGGTGAATGTGCAAATAAGGCATATCACAAGGCAACAGGGAAATGCAGACATGTGGCTGTGGCAAGGAGAAAACAGACACGACAGGCTCCCTCCTTTCACTACTTATTGCCTTGGTGTTCCTCGTAACCAGAAACGACAACGAAACACAGCTACGATTCATCTCACTCAAATTACTTCATCTTCACGACATCCTTACTCTTTACAACAATCCTAGTAACGCCTCATTGATTCCGATGCAGTCTCGTATCTCTACCCGCGCCGCCACGCCCAGGAGGGTTGAGCAAATCAGGATCTACATCGACAACTCAAACGTCTGGATCCAAGGCCAGCGAACGTCGGCCGAAAAACGTGGTCTGCCCGAAAAGTTGGATCCTACCTGGAGGTTCGACGCCGGGAAGCTGAAGAACGTCTTGACCCAGAACTGCGGTCTGCCCGCAGATGAAGACGTCCAAGCCATTGTCGACCTATATGGATCAACCCCTCATGAAATTGACGCGACATGGAGGGCCATCGAATCTTGCGACGTTAGGGTCCACACGTTTGAGCGTAGCTCGTGGACAAAACGTGAAAAGAAGTCGACGCTGAAATCATCGCGGCCTCGGTATCTGATGCCGCTGACCTGCAACACGGCGGGGTTTCCAGCACCTTTATCATCGTTTCTGGTGACAAAGATCTTATTCGAGCTGTGCTAAGAATTGCCAAGAGAGAATTCCAAGTGCATGTCTGGTCATGGAGAAATGGAATATCAGCGGCTTACACGCAACCCAAGGAAGAATGCCGTCACCTGATGATGGATCGAGAGCTCATCGAGGTACACTTTCTTGATGATTTCATGGACAAGTTCAGTTTCCACGAGGAGGTTTTCGATCCCAAAAAGAGTGCCATCCCCGACAATAGTATCGTCATCCTCGAACCTTCGATTAACCGCGACATTATCAATCAAGTTCTTGAGAATCTCCGCATTTCATATCGCTTACACCATCTGCAACGCCGTGGAGTTTCTGAGAAGGACTTGGTCATCATACTTATCTGTGAACTGGACCATGAGACCCACACCGAGATATTTCAAGATATGAGAGAAGAGCTCAAGCGCTACAACCTAAGGGCCATGACATATTTCGAGTACAACAACAGTGCTTCCCGTCCTCAGAACCCAAAGGGCAAATTCATAACACCAAACCCCTTCGACCCGCTTAGGAAGGCCAATGGGATTGATTCAAAGAGTGGCCAAGATAATGATGGCTTTACACCCGTCAACAACGGTCGGAAGAAACAAAATAAGCGACTGAAAGCAGAGCAGAAACTGGTCTACAACCGTTGCGTCTGGCGCCTGTATTGCAGTGAGGGCACTCGTTGCAAATATGGACATACTATAGAGGAAACGGCCACTTTCGAGGCGTGTGGAACACGGAAAGCAAAAAGGTACAAGTTCTGCTCAAATGGAAAAGATTGCTTCAAAAAGACTTGCAACTACGCTCATAAGTGGGATGAGTTGCTTTGTCCAACTTGTGACAAGACGGGGCCCACCTGATGGAGAATTGTCCAGAGAAGAACCTTCCCTCTATTCTGAGGTATGCCAGTTGAAGGCATCCATGGTTATCACATGAGAAACGGATCAAGCAGTCAGTCATAGTTCAGTCGATAAACTTTTATTACAAGACAACACGCATCTCAGAGGCTGCGTCTCAACATCAAGCTTGATATATGCGTATACTATATTCTATAATGGTTGAAAGGAAGTATCTTGAAGCCAATGGTGGCTTTTGCATCTACATCATGCTGTCACCATCAACCTCTTAGAAGAGGGCAATGGCACCCAGGGCAACGATCATGCCAGCGGGAGCGATGCGGCCGGCACCAGCGGTGACGACAGGGGGGTTGCCACCAGTGGGAGTGGCAACAGGGCCGGTGGGAGCAGGGCCAGTGGCAGAGCAGGCGGTGGGGGTGATGAGAGAACCATCAGGGCCGAAGGGGCTGTAGCCAAGGCACTTGGCATACTCGGCAGCGCAGGTGGCCATGTTGGCACCAGATCCGCTGCGGCACTTGTTGTAAGCCTCGGAGCACTCCTTGGCACAGTCGTGGACGGGGACAACAGGAGCAGGGCCAGTAGGGGCAGGGCCGGTAGGAGCAGGACCGGTGGGAGCAGGACCGGTGGGAGCAGGGCCAGTGGGAGCGGGACCAGTAGGGGCAGGGCCAGTGGCAGAGCAAGCAGTAGGGGTCTTGAGAGAGCCATCATCGCCGAAGGGGCTGTAGCCCAGGCACTCAGCGTACTTGGCAGCGCAGGTGGCCATGTTGGCACCAGGACCGCTGCGGCACATGTTGTAGGCATCAGTGCACTCCTTGGCGCAGTCGTGAGCAGGGGCGCTAGGAGCAGGGCCGTGAGGCTTGCTGACGGTACAAGGGCAGTCGGTGATGGTGAAGGTGGTGGGCTTGGTGATGGTGTAGGTCTTGTTGTTGTAAGAGAGAGTGGTGGGCTCAGGGCAGTAGGTGGTGATGGCGGTCACGACCTCGGTGGTGTAGACGGGCTTGGTGGGAGCAGGCTTCTTGGAGCAAGCAGTGGGGGTAACCAGAGAACCGTCGTTACCGAAGGGGCTGTAGCCCAGGCACTCGGCGTACTTGGCGGCGCAGGTGGCCATGTTGGCACCCTTGGCGACACGGCACTCGTTGTAAGCCTCGTAGCAGTGCTCAGCGCAAGCATCCTTGGCGGGGCCAGTGGCGGTGGGCTTGGCGGGCTTGCTGATGGTGCAGGGGCAGTCGGTGATGGTCAGAGTGGTGGCCTCAGTGATGGTGTAGGTCTTGTCGTTGTAGGTGAGGGTGGTGGCAGCCGGGCAGTAGGTGGTCAGAGCAGTGACGACCTCGGTGGTGTAGGCGATGGTACCGTTGCCGTAGACGGGAGAGGCCTGGGCGGCGCCGACCAGAAGGCCGGCAACAGCAGCGCGAGTGGTGAAACCCATTGTGATTATTTGTTTGGTTGGTTGGTTTTTTGAGCGAATGTAAGCTTTTGAAGGCTGTAGAAACGAGTGTAGTTGTTTTGGTTGGAGCGAGGCTGAGGAGGAAAGAATTGTCTGTGGCTGTCGGAAGTCGGGTTTTTATAACCTTTTGACAGTCGTCTGTTTGGGACTTATGCATCCCCCTTTGTGGATATTGCTAGACGACAATGATATCATGAAAGCTTCTAGTCTAGATCTTCTGGGGTAAACTAGGACGCGTTGGTGTTAGGTTCGTCTCATGCCTTGAAAGTAACGTCGTCGTCCCACATTGCAATTGGGCCGTCTCAAAGGCAGTTTTGCAATACGAGGTCTTTTCCCCAATAGAAGGCCGTCGGATCTCGGCTCCGAGGGGCCTTTTGACGGGTCGGTACCTGCATACGAGCCATGCATGGAACCCCCGGTCTCGTATCATCCGGTGTTTTTTTCATTTCGGTCCGGCACATCGCATCCATCGGCCATTCCGAGCTGAAGTGCCGCTGCTTACTGCAGGGGAAAGCCTGATGATCGATTGGTAATTTGTGGAGGCTCACAGGGGGTGACGAATTATTATTAGAAGCCCCTTCTCGATCCGATCCCCGTGCCCCTGTTGGGCTGGCGACAATAACATTAATCGATTGAATCATGCCATGTTTGAACGTTAAATGCATCCCGATGATTACTCTATTCATTGATTGGCTATCAATCAGGGTTTGAGATGGAGGTGCGGATGGCAAGCCGTGTTCAGCTCGTGTCAGCCCTTGCCCTTCATATCGTTCCAGAAACCAAGATCTCGGGAGCAATTGAGACATGGCATTCCACGGAGATGAGGAATGCATCAAACTACCCTGAAGCCGAGAGTCTGGAACTCTTTGAAACGGCGTAACAATCCAATTGAGCTTTTCTGGAATTTGGACTTTTGGGCATTGCTAATATGAATCATATTTTGCACACGCATGCTACCCACTTGATGGGTCACGTTTCTACGCCCATTCCATGCACTGTTGTAGGCATTGTAAGGAATTGTAAAAACCCCGAGATTTTCTGCGATAGCGGTGTGACCAGTCTGCATGTTGTTCAATAACCCGGGTTGACAGATTGAAGGCATGCCTCTTGTTGGCGGTGAGAGATACGAAGTGCCCCCTTTCAATTCACTTAGGGGAAAGGTTGGCCCTACAGTTTCACGTGCTTCGTATCCAATGATTGCGCTGCTGAGATCATGCTTTCCTTGGGAAGCTACCCATTGGTGGCTGGATGCAAGGGAGCTCGTCTAGATCCCCGATGAGCTTGAACGGACGCTGATAGGCTGTCCAAGAGCCACTTTGGTCGGGGCGGAGATTTAGCCCGTGGAGAAACGGGTGATTTTCTCGTAGCCTGAAAATAACAAGTTTGGGAACGCATTTTGCATTGATAAGACGGAGCCTCAAACGGTTATGTGACGTTGCAATACGGTCGCCAAGTAATTAGATTGGCTATAATGCTTATCGGGTTTCTTGTCTCCCACCACGTCATTCTTCTTTGGTAGGTTGCAGAGGCGACGATTAATGCCTTGTGCCTCCAGGGTGGCTGGGTGGTAGGGCGGAACCTTGGTCTCGGTGTGGATGGTACTTGGTGTGTGAGTTAAATGCGCAAAGAAAGTCTTTAAATCAATCCACGGATATTACTCAATTCCACCGACTGCTATTGGTGATATAATAAAATGACTTTCTAAATGCGCACCTTTTGCGGAAGTCTTGACGCCCGTTTCGGGAATGAGCGACGAGCCGTAATAAACGGGCGGAGAGAAACCACTCAATGACTATTGATTGTTTCTTGATATCAAATAGTATTGAGAATGAGTACTTCCTGAAAAATGACGGATTCACTCCATAGATTTGAAGAAAATGCATGTTGGCACCATGATAAACACTGAGTGTGACCTAAAGCGCTGATGTTTTGGCGTCGACGTTCTCGTTATGGCAAGGGCGTGGATGCTTCCCTCCTGTTTTCACCTCTAATTCAATTGTTACGAGAGGATTTGCACGCCAGACACGGTGTAGAGACCGTGTCCTTCTCTTTCTAGTATTGTATTTGCGCTGAGCTTTGTTGCGCCGACTGCATACCGCATTGTTACGAAGGATATAACCTAGCAAAACTGCGGTACCTGTTGAAAGGTATCTTTCACTTTTGCCGTAGTGGCTTTGCGACACGCATTTTTAGAAGCGCGCCTATGCCAGCCATTCTCAGTCCCTACACGAGATAACAGGGCTGCGACCACCTTAAAATGCAGTAATAGGATTAGGAGGCCTTAGTAGAGTACGAAGAAGGCTACCAGCACGCTGCTACTATGCCCCGCATAAGCTGTTAGGCGACAAGGTAGACAGTCTTCTGAGACTCGTATTCATTACGGAGATTGATGTGCGTTTGGGACACGAACTTGGATTTGGATACGAACTTGACATTTCAATTCGTGTAGACAGCAACCTGCTCTGAGAGCTGTTGCCCTGGATCGCTAGCCGTGGTGAGGGACTTCTTAACTATGTGGACAGGACTTGGCGGAATGCGGAAACCCTATGACGATGCTGTAATCGTCTGACTTAAATACCCGAGTCACCCTCGAAAAGGTCTTCATGTTCCTCATGCCAACTCTTCCAATCATCACAAACCCTATTCGCCTCAATCATGTTGGGAGAGTCCCACGGGAAAAGCTTATTGGCATCACTCTGACGCTCCAGAATTTGCAACGCCAAACCCTCGGATGCATGTCGGGCTATGTGACAATGCATGAGCCAGCTTCCAGGGTTGTCGGCCTTGAAGGCGATGACAACGAAGCCGCCAGTGGGTAGGAGCACCACGTCTCGGCGGGGAGGGTTGTCGAGGGTGAGATTGAGCCTGCTGGGATGATACTCTTGATTTTCCTCTTGCTGCAGAAGAGCAAAATCATGCCCATGGAGATGAATCTGGAGGGATTTAATGTTAGGCTTTCCAGCAAGGAGGTGATCAAGGTTGACATACCGGGTGAGCTCTTGTAGCGATGCTACTGTCCTCCATTGTCAAGACAAGATAGACCTATGAATACTGTCAATACTGTGTTCACTGCGCAGACCCGGAAGAAGTAAGCCATACCCATTGCTCCTCGGTGTAGTCTTCAGGAATCACCACCCACTTGCGGGGGAAGGTGTTGACATGTGAGTCAAGATGCATCATGACCGGATCAGAATAGTTGATCTGAAGCGGTCTGAAATCCGGGTCGGCGGATTCTTGCATCGAAAAAAGAGCCAAAGGATAGTCCACAAACTCTGGCCTCGTACCTGCGGTTCTGTCAAAAGTGACATTGAACTGCTCACCAGCAAGGTCGTCCGCTTTCTTAGCGTTAGCTGCAGGGCCGACATACCACGGTATCTTGGGCCTCAGCGAAGAGTATGTCTCGTCCGAACAGGCCTTGCTGATTCTCGTCCAAGGCCGCGATGTTGGGTCTGACGTGCTCGTGTTGTCGTATCGGAGGATACCAGTCTCTTCATAGCCTGCGCCTCCTGGTTGTATACCGCAATTATCCGCAATCCAGGTCCTGATCCAGAAGTTGCCGTCTTCTGGGATGGGGTTATCATCACCAGCAAGGGGGTTGGCCTCTACAATGACATTGTATCGCTGACCGATGCCAATCAAGACGGACGTGTTGTAGTATGGTTCGATGGGCACAAAGTCAGCTGATACGATCTGAAGCCAATGATTGTCAATGGAAAAGACAAAAGTCGAGTCGAAAGAGGTGTTGATCAAGCGGAGGAGGTATCTCTTTGGCCGTGTGGGCTTGTCGGTGGGTGTCTTGTTAAAATGCAAGACGTAATTGTCAGGAACTTTGAGGGTGGGGGTGTACCCGTAGTGAGAAACGTTTCCTGCACCGTTTAGGAGGATAGTCTTGTTTCCCCAATTACGGTTGAACAGAAGCTGAAAGGCGCTGTTATGAGCTTATTTGTTGATGTTAACGCTTGAATGGCTTAAAGTTTGTAGCGGCGTCTACTTACACCAATCAGTCATAAGCAACGGGCGCTTGGAAGCGTCAAAGGGAGCAGATGATGGGCCATGAATCGTCTGTAAAATCCGTCAGCCGATATCGGAGTGTGATTGCACGTGACTGTTTCTACTTACCAGTGGACCTTGTAAACCATCTGCATACTGTACAGAGTAGTGGCTATGATACCAAGAGGTTCCATACTGCGTTGTCTTGAAGCTGTATGTGAAGTTCTGGCCAGGTGCAATGGGACATTGGGTGATGCCATTGACACCGTCCATATCCATCGTCTGGTTCTGTCGAATCCCGTGCCAGTGGATGCTGGTGCCATTTTCGCTCATGTTGTTTATCACGGTGATGTTGACAGTCTATTAAACAGTGAGTTTGAGACTCGAGTCACATGAGGTTTGCATCTTGCTTACATCTCCCCAACACGCTTCAAGCCAGGGACCAGGATAGGACTCATTGAACAGCTTCGCTGTCTTGAAGGGCTGACCGTCAGCATTGAATGCCCCATCGGTGATGTTCAAGGTATAGTGTCGAGTAATGCCGATCGGAGCAAACTTTTCATAGTTGGTATGAATGTTGAACTCTTGGCCCTCTTTGTTTCGAAGCCAGCATTCTCTGTTCTCGGGTATCGAGCAAGGGAACCAGCCCTCCATTGCACTGTAGTCGCAGACAAAGTCATGGTCGCCTGGATTTGCTGCTGGGGGCCGGAAGATTGGGTAGTGACCATAGTCAAGTTCATGGGTATGTGTGGGTGGCGGTCCAAGAGGACGCTGGGCTGGATGATGAAAGCCGTACTCTGACACAGGCGACATAGTCAGCCATGTGAACAGGCCTACAACAGCATGCCAGAAGCGGGCGAAAAGCGACATCTTGGGCAATGCTTAGGGGTTTGATGAGATTTCATCGAGGCGCGAGGGTCGGACGGGGGAGGGAGCGTTCTAATGCTCCAGCCCAATACCAAAAGCAGCATGCACGTCATTCTACCCCGCGTGAGATACGCTTTTGAGGACGTCGTAAGCCACGGGTAGTTGCAGCTGAGAAGCCGTAGGAGAGTTTGTAAGCCTGCAGATTCATCCCACTTTCGATCAAAGCTGAAAGCGGGAGGCTAGCTGACAGTCAGATTGAGGGCCCGGCAGATCATTCACGGGAGTCAGTGGGCCTGCTGATTGGCTATAGTGATCTCAAAGGGCTGAGACATTCATTATTCATTGGCTGTGACTGCTGCAAGAGACGGGATGGTGCGGGACGGGAAGGGACAAAAAGCCCTACGGCTCGTATTAGAGCGCGGCATGTTGAACAGTTCGGCAACCTGACACACCCAAAATGCATCCACGACACCCTCACGACACAGATAGGGGCGGAATTCGGGCCATTATTATGCATATTTAGCGCTTTGACCCCTCAGAGGGCTGTGGTACAACTTCAATATCACTCTTCCTGGGCGTCTCGTGCCCTGGAATGCTGACAGCCGTGAAACGGTTGGTTGTACAACATATGCGTAAGCTTACCGATGTCTGAATAAAGGTGTATCAAGACTCGGGTTTACGTAAGGGCCTGATCTGCAGGTGGCATAAGCGGGCATGGAAGATCTCGCGTGGTTGCCTTACGAACATTACATCTGCCGACCTATCGCGGGCCTATCTGTTGTCAGACAGGTGGTCACACAACATAGTACCCATGCCTTTTCCGGCTTACCGCCTTGATGAGAGAGACATCCATTTCAACCCTACCTAGGAGGTGTGGTCAGCCCAACTCGAGGCATATAAAAGTGCCGCGTCATTTGCCGACAGTTGTGTGATATGCCATGGGAAGCAGGGCGGTGGAACTGGTACAGGAAGGCCGCTCAAAGACGGCACCAATCAGAATGAGTATTTTATGCGAGATTAATACACAAAAAAGGGGGCGAACATTGATGTATTTGAAGCTAATCCGATTGATATCGCCAAAATATGCGATGTAGTCTTGCAGTGTATGAGATAACCAGTCATACTGAGGTTGGAGGATGTCTGAGTTGCCAACGAAAGATGCGGGGTATAGAAACACAAGGTCTTTGTGAAACTCCCGTAAGACAAGCGAGCTGCTCAAATGGTACATATTGAAGGCATTGTTTCTGGTGCAACCTGCTTATAACTTATGCACCACCTAAGGCGGTGTCGTGTACGCGTCTGCATGAAGCACTCCGATCAGCTTCCTCACGAAAGAGGTTTTTTCTGCTATATTGGCCTATAAAAATTCACGCGACAGTTTTACTGTTATTGCGAATGCCCACGTGGCGTTGCCCTTGGAACTTGATTGCGTGACGACTAATATGACAAGCTTAGAAGACAGCCGCCCCCACTCCGCGGATTTCTTTCACAAGGTCCAAGGCAAGGACCCTGAAAATCTATTAAATATTCAAGTTGCTTCATAAAAGTAAGGATGTCAGAACTTAGTTTCCTCTTCACCCTCCGTCATGTTGATACTGTCTTAGTATGGAGGCACCGAGGACCCTGGTTGGTACCCTGGCCGCATCCACCAGAGCCTTGATTCTTCTTCTCTCGCACTCTGGGGATAACAAAAGGAGACTCATATGCGGATTTTCAACGCGAAGCTCTCCTATTTATTGGACCACTGCTTCTGATGCAAGAAAAATTGGAGATCGCCCTCGGTCATTGTAGGAATTGCCTGATGGACACTCCCTCGAAGGATCACTCTGCCAAGCCTGTTCGACAAGTTGGGCAGGATGCTGCGCTCGCTCATTAGTCATCACACGTGACTGATGTTGGGCCAACAGGTTACTGAACAATTGACTGCGCCGCTAACCTGGTCTTGAATTGGTCAACTTGCCATTGATGTCAACATGGTGGGCGTTAAGCATATCCAGCGTTGCGACCAGTGCCGCCAAGCCAAGAGGAAGGCGAGTCATATTTCTTGGTCCTAGAAGCAAAGCTAATGGCCTTCTAGTGTGACCAGGCTCAACCCTCCTGTGGGAGGTGTGGTCGTATCGGTATACGATGCACCGGAGCTAATGTGCGCCAGTTTATACACGTCAAGGATCCATTGGCCGTCAGCATTCGCAGCAACCCTTTATCGAAATCAATGTCTATCGCGCAATCGCTGGTATCAATTATCGAGAGCCCAGGTTTACCGTACGACATTGCTTGTTCTGGAGTTTTCTTTAGCCAACTACCCCAACGACTGGTTTCCTGTCCGACCTTGGCAATAGCTGCGTCTGCAATGGTTCAGACACATCAATCTCTTCACAGCCAGAATGAGACACTTTACAGAAAAGCTCTTTCCCATCACGGAACGGCGTTGCGCGCAGTGCGGACAATGCTTCGAGATCCATCGCAGGTTTATTCAGTAAATACAGCGTGCACAATCTATCTGATTATGGCTTGCCAGGTGAGGCTTGACTCAGTTACTATGAGCCTCCCTCTGTTGACTGAAATTGGGATAGGAGCTTCTTTGGGGCCCGGCTGTACCTGCTACGCAACACATGGCCATGCTTTTGGCAATCCTCCGTAACGCCTTTATGGAGGGCTGGTTACAAGAATTCCACATAAGCATGTTGGTTTGTTATTTGCCTACGATAGTGAGTAGTTTGACCCTCCTGACAACCTCTACTAATAAGCAGTAGACTTTTGAAATGGCGTATAATCCAGACCTAAAGCCCGAGCCTTGGTTCTACGACCTTATCGCGCGGTGCACCGGTAACGAAAACGGTCAGGTGACGGTTTGTGACTCCATCACCATGATGGCGTTTGCCCAGATGCCTCGGTTCAATAGCAATCCGCAAAAATACTACACTCAAATATCGCAAGCTTACAGATTGCTGAAGGCTGAGCTTGAAGAGCTTAGTGTGAAGGAGAGCGAGCAGGACGAGCCCACTGTGTCGAGTACAGAATACGGAAAAGGAATCCAAAAGCTGTCACCGGAAGATCCGGTTCAAGAACCACACAGGAACATGCAGACGCTTGGACCCTTTACTACGATGCTTGCTGCAGGTGCACTGCTCAATCGATTATTACGGCAAGTCGAAGGATGCACAGAACTTCTTATGAGTGAGATGAAGTCTTTCTGCAACGAGATTGTCAGTGCATCACAACAGGGATTCAAGTTCGGCCCGTTGGCGGCGGGCGTGATGCCCCAGACTATGGCAATCGTTTGGGCCGCATCCGAACCTTGCCCGGAGAGGAATAGCATCAAGGAAGCTGGTCTTGGCTCCTTGAACTATGAGATAGGGTTGAAATGGTTAGAGAGGGCGAAAAGGTTCGAGAGTGCAATAGATAACCGGTCGCTCTGGAAAGATGTTGACCAAAGGTCGTATCAGTTTGCAGAGAAGAGTTAAGAAGAGTTAAGCTGGTGCCTGCTTGTGCAAGCGTTGGCATAACGAAAAGGCACAAAGTTCAAATACAAAGCAATCATATCTTCATCTCCACTGCTATCAGCACTAAGCAAAGTAATAGCTTGCTCGGACCCTTCGGGCAGGTTCCATCTTTCTCTAAGCGCCGGACGTACGTGTCTAGTGCTGGTCAGACGTGGCGCAGCGGCTTATGCTGTCTCACTCCCCTGGTCGGAATCCACCCTGCAGAAATAGCGTAGGTATAAGGGACCATGTCACTACCACTACACGGCAGGCAGTTTTTATCCTTTGCTCTCGGGCTACAAGGGGGACTCGACGCCAACTGAAACACTCTGTACCTTGGAATACTGTTCTCAGTTTGTTGCTGTGATGGATCTTACTACAGGACAACCAAAGGAACAGCCTTCCCGCTTTCCCGCTGCCCTTTTCCACGCTTTTGGCGTTGCATCCTTCATTTACAGCTTCTACCTTCTCACAACATGGAAAACAATCTTTACGGATGCATTCGGGTGGTACTTTCAGCTCCTCACTGTCGTCGGCCTCGCTACCTCTCTGCTGGTATTCACCTTTGGTGTCCTTGCAGACCTCACACTTAGCAATGTCTTTTTTGACGCCAAGAATACCATGTCGATCCTGGTGACGCCTCTCGAAGTCGTCATATCGGTGCTTTACTGGTCGATAAGAGTATACGACTCATCCTTGCTCAGGCCAGGAGCGCTCGACATTGACCCTCTACTCGACATTGGATTCCACCTTGCGCCAGCAGTATTACTGTCGCTCGACTTTATCATTTTGAGTCCGGCATGGAAGATCACAGCTCGTGGTATGATGCCTCTGAGCGTTGCCTTGGCTTTGGTGTATTGGTGTTGGATTGAGCTCTGCTTTCAGCGAAATGGGTGGTGAGTTTACGAGGCAGTTGGATACTTACTCGTTTGTCGCTGATACTAAAATAGGTATCCTTACCCACTCTTTGACCAGTTTTCGGCTATTGAACGTAGCTTGATCTTTGTTCTCTCTGCTGGCCTGCTGACGGCATCGTCATCTACCCTTCAATGGGTTCATGGAGGGATACAAGGCCCCGTGCTCAACCAAAAGAACAAAGCCAAGGTGTATTGATGCTGGTGAAAAGAAGATTATCTATCATTGACTACATAAAGGGGTTTTGAAATTCATGTATTAGGTATACGCATGTTAGGATTCTGCAATGTTGTGGTAGTCATTATCATTAGAATACTGGTGCTCATTTCTTCCATCTTTCTTAATTGGGCTATTCCATGCCTTGTTGACAATGTCGCGAACTTCAAGAAGGACATCTATTCAGCAGTCTCTCCCCACAAGTCAATGGCCGCTCATTTTGATACTTGTAATACTCAAAGTGTAGAACCTATTCAAAATATCAAATCAAAAAGTAATCCTGCCCATCGATGTACACCACGTTCTTCTATTAAAGCTCTGAGGTTGTCTTGCTTTATCGATCAAATCTCTCCTCTTTGTCATTCACGGAACGCTGATATCGCATCTACCTGCTTTCGGTACTATAAAAAACTCGCCCACTTGTGTCATCATGTCATCCGTCATACTGTGATGCAGCCGTGCGCCCCTACACTCCCTGAAGAACAGGGCGAGAGCAAGACGAATTTCCATCCGCGCTAGATTCATGCCAAGACAACTCCTAGATCCTATACTAAAAGGAACATGGGCTCTCTTTAGTTCTGGACTTGGATTGGCAAACCGGTTTGCGTCAAATCTGGGTACTCTGAGTTAGTCATTGTTGATCGTCATGTCGACTGAGCACTTACTTTTCTGGCTGGGGAAACACCCCCTCTAGACGAGATAAAAGCCAAGACTGGGTGTACACTGTGGTACCACCGGGGATATCCCACCCGTCGACAGAAATGCCGCCTGGGGGCACCGATCTCTCGACGGGAGCTCCCGTGGGGTTGTATAGCCTCAACACCTCCTCAAGAACATTGCTCAACAGTGGCAGAGCTTCAACTTCTTTAGCCGTAAAGCCAAGGGGGAGGGCTGCCACTTCATCTTCCACCTGCTGTCTCAAGACGGGATGTCGGAGAACCTCCCAGACAGCATATGTCAACGTGGCTGCTGTGCTGTCGGAGCCTGCTACTATCATCATGGCGGCCTCCGATCCCATCTCGTCGTCATCCAAGGCCGCCCGTCGGCTCTTGATGTTGTCTTCACTTAGAATACGGCCAAGCATTGTGGTGGCGCATTTTGGTGAATGCCGTAATTCGCCTAGGGCAGCCATTACATGACCGAACATGACCTCTGTGCAGCAAACTACATCCCTGACCCAGGTAATGGGAGACCACCTGAGAGGTGACATGAGGGCCTCGGGCAGAATGGCCTGTAGCATGACCTTCATGTTGACCTTTTCCAGGGCTTTGGATACTGGCGAGTCTTGCCCACCTGATTCTAGCAAGTCAAAGGATTGACCAAATGCCATTTCAGTCATGACATCGACCGCGAGACATCGCCACCACTTGTAGACGTCAACTCTACCATCTTCGGCTTCGGTCTTGATTTGAGAAATAGCCAGTTCAACTAGCCTCCGGATTGTCGTCTCTTGGTCTGCCCGCACGGCGGTAAGACTTCGACCCAGGATACGTTTCCGTTGAGCATGCGCTTGAGGATCTCGCATGGTGAACAGCATGGGCGAGTGGCTGAACCGAATCTTGTCAAAGACAGGAGTTTTGGTGCAGTGGCTACCAACACCGTGAATTTTGTAGTAACCATCAATGCTGTTGATAGAAACGTCCTTGGGACCAACCCTCACGACGGAGCCATGGATCTTGTGGAGTCGTTGTAGATAATGACGGCTGGTACCGACTAGTCGGGCATAGAGAAAGGGAATATCTGTGAAGCGTGTGTACCATGGGCCAGGAAGAGAAGAAACCGAACTTTGGGAATAGTCGAAAAGAATCTTGAAGAGAAATATCAAGGCAAGGACAACGATTGTCAGTATCACAGTGGCAGACATGGCTGCGGTTGGAAAAGAGGTTCGCCTGGGGATGAAGAGATGCAGGCCCAAGCAACAGCAGAGCATCTGGATACCCTACAGACAATAAATTAAACGCATGAAAGACAAATTTAGCACAATTACGCCCGATGGTACACGTACGACAGACAATTCTAGCCCGTGCCTTTGTTGGTGACGAGTAGCGCTTACTGGTTCAAGCTCCGCTTGATTGCAGGGTAACATGGATGAACCTCAGACACTATTCAACTTGGAATCAATTACGTGAGACTTGTCAATGCGTCTAGAACGATCTAACTTGTCCTGCCCTGCATGCGGAGCGTAGCTAAGTTGCCAGGACTGTATGGGTCTGATAAAGTTCAAGGTGGGTTGATTGGTGGGCTCGGTCTCGACGGAAGAGTTAACCGCGCGGGTGGCACCGCATTGATGAGACTAAAAGAAAGAAAAAAGGAAAAGAGAGAGAAGAAACAGGGGGGGTAGCACCCAAGTTGCCAGCTGAGCGGACCAGCTGAAAGGTGCATGCATGCTCGATTTGGTGGGCAACAAGGCTTGGATATTCCTCTTGGCGTTTCAAGTGAGTGCACTGCAGTGGAGACATCTCTACTCCCTGGTAAAAACGAGTCCGTCACATGTCAAAGGCGCACAAATCTTCCAAGTTGCGTGCTGGGAGGTGATATGGTGCCTGCGGGCTTGTTGTCAAGTCTCCACCTCGGGGCTGGGCTGCACAATCTGCAGAGGGTTGCCATCCATCTACAATTAGCAGGTAGCAGCGGTTCCGCTGCGTGTCTCGGACGCTGCAGCACTAGCTCTGCCATGCTGGCAGAGGATTGATGGCACAGCAGCAGAGTTCTTCTTGGTGTGGCAGTGCGCATTATCGTCTAAACTGAGTGAAGCCCCAGTGCGCTTTATAACGCTGACAAAGATTGGAGTTTCACGCCCAAAGCAGCGACTTGACATGGCTGTTAGCACAGATGTAATTAACTTGTTAATCGCAACGCTGATCAAAGAGGCTGAACTGCAAATGCAAGATTATGGATGAACATATAGGGTAATGTTAGACATTACAAGATAAGTTCGATTGGCCAGGCGCAAAAGTGCATACCTGAAGCCTTGTTCACTCGATGCAAGTCAGACAGATAGTGTATCTTGGCAAACCTCATAAACTCCATTTCTCATACTCTCAACTATCCTGTCAGGCACCGAGCGTGTTGCCCTAATACGAGCTAGTCTGTTTGTGGGATGCTTCCCATAGGTCGTCCACGTTGGTTTAACTAGGAGAGCAACCACTACGGCGTCTCTTAGTGATGCACAGCCTGGATGGATGCGATCTTCGGGCTCAGTTAGCCCATCAAGGGCCGGGCTGCAACTATAATAAAGAACAGATCTCTGGATGGATGCAACTCCTAGGTTTTGCAAAATTCGCGCTTTATCTATTTTCACTGCGTTGTGTTCGCGCCTATTCTCTTCCCAGACCGAAGGGTGCTTCATTGCTATGGAACCAAGTACTAGAATGCTTGACCCCAACAATCGTCTTTTTCCAGCCCCTCTGACTACAGCCCACTTCCAGTCACTCCCCGGCTGCTCAGGACTGCCCTTGGCAATGGTCGTAACGTGCCGTCGAGGTCTATACCAAGATTAATCTGACCAAAGCGTCTGACCGACTTCCCATACTAGCAAAGCTGGCACACAGTTTTCTCGAGGTGACACGAGCCAGAAATATCTGGCCCGATTGTGGAACGGGAATCTCTTGGAAGACCTGACATGGTTTGTCGATTAGAAGACGACAACAGAGCAAGCCACCTCCCCGGATACATCCGGCGACTCCCCATCATTATACCCCCCTGGCTATAGGCTGGTTGCGGCAAGCCTATACAGATTGCAAGCCATACGATAGAGCCAACCCATCGCTATGTTAGCATTGTCTCTGTGACATTTGAGGCTGCAAGTGTTGAAAATCCTTTCGGGCGCCTTTGTCGGGGAACACTGGCCTTGCGAGGCCATGTATTATATAGTTATCTCTCCTAACACCAACAAAACAGGCCGAATTCGTCTAAATACCCGAGGTTACGGTAACAAGTAGCTGACTTTTGACCTGCCCTTGCTTCTAGATATTTTCTTAACCTTGGTCTCGCCGCATAAGTCGGTTGTGTCAACATGCGTTCCTCCACAGGGGTACACTTCTGCCCCGACAATCTTGACGACGCGGAACTTCTCCCCAGGAGCTACGAAGCTCGCGTCAGGTGTCAGACGTTCCAATCCATTGTCGCGGAAGTCCTGTTCGTCCCACCAGTGAATCTCGACGGGCATCTTTGCCGCGATGAACTCGTCCACCTTTTGCTGAATGGCGTCTTTCCATTTTCCTTCAATGAGACCCTGGAACTCGCAGGACGCGGAATCGGGAAAGTGAGAGGCTTTCAGTTCGTCGAAGTCCTCGATCTTGTCCTTTAGGAGGTGGTTGACTGCCGAGCCGAGAACGTGACCAGCGGTATGGTATCGTGAATAGAGGAGGCGTAGTTCAAGGTCGATCTCCTGGTCCACATCGTGGCCTTGACTGAAAGTGTCGCCCGGGGAGTTGAATCGTCCAAAGTGCAAGACTTGGCCGTTGCCTGTGGCATCCATTCGAGCCGCCGCGGCGGTAAAACATACACCGCCTTGATCTGTCATTTTACCGACATCTGAAGGTTGGCCCCCGCCTTGTGGATGAAAGATGGTTTGTTCTGTGATGACAGCGTAATCATGCTCAGTGCCTTGTTTAAAGAGATCTTGGTTATCTTGCTCAAGATCACCGTAGGGTTGCACCGCCACTACCCTGGTCTGAAGAGTAGAAAGCTTTGCATCTCGTTGAAAGGCGAGAAAAGTCCTAGTCGGAGGGGTCATGCTGGTATTGAAGGACCGGGGTGACGATCATATACCACACCACGGGAGATTCTGCGTATATGAAACTCCAAGTCGGAAGAGCGAAGAGACTGACAAGCGAGGTTTGTACAACATACTCAGGGGCACTGAGTGTTGATCTGAGGTATTTGTGGCAGTTTAATGGTCCTCCACTATTGGTCCAAATCACTGACTCAGCGCTCCTGATAACTAAGTGATTGAGATAAGATTAGATAAGGGCTCTTCTACCAATGTCGCGTGCACCCGGTTACCTTTGCGTGCTAATTCGAGCTCAGGACGCACAATTGATGCAGAAGAATACCATCAGTAGCGGAGCCGATGGCTTTCATAGCTTATAGCGTTATGAGACTTGCCCGGTAAGGTCGGGCTACTATGCTACTACCTATTTTGTGTAATGATATTTTCCTTCACTAACTTGGGCTTTGATAAAAGCTCTCAAGCAGTAGGTCACGCCATTCAGGCAGGCAAGGAGATAGATAAATAACTTTAGGCTTGGTGCAAGAGTCATGATCTTTCCAACGATCCAGAGGTATAGGCGAGAGCTCCTCAGCTAGTTTATCAGGGTCCCAGGACGCACCGGGGTGAAAGTTGCAACGCAGGATCGAGGTTTGGCGGAGCAAGTGGTCAATGGCTTCTGAGAATCCCTCCGGCACAAATTCACATACGGGGTAGCGGTCGTGAGTCGGAGAGCCGTCTTCAGCCTGGCGTTTTTGATATGCCCTCTCGCAGGCAATATCTCGATGAACGACCTGCTGGAAAATATCAGAGCAGGTATTAATGTCGGGGTCTCCGTCAAGAACCAGTGTGAAAGACGTTTCTGGCATTCCAGCATCCACAGCGGCCAATGCCTCCGATAACCAGCCGTATAGGTTCCGAGTAATCCAACGGGTCTTGAGCGGGATATCCTCGTCATTGGTCTTTTCGACCAGTCGAGTCAGGCGTCTCAGGCCTGGCACATGGTGAAATGCATTCTGAAAGAGACTAATGCGCCGCTCGATGTGAAGGCGTGGATTCTCTTGGCAGAATGGGATGAGCCCATGGGCGTGGCATTCTGGGCTATGCAACGAGACATGATCCTCGCGCAATATGACGTTCCTAAATTGCCGTCGCGCTTCATTCGGGAGACGCTCGAGAAACCAGATGGCTACAGACGCTGCCGAAAAGCGGAACTTCTCACGAAAGAGCCAGCTGGCCTCTTGATCTTCGGCCTCAGAATCCATGTCGCTGGTTGTGCACCCTGGATACCAGTCCCCGAGTTGTTGCCATGCGGCGCCGTCTCCGAACAGTTGTCCTATTCTTCTGAGGACGGAGGAGTCCGGCATAGCCCAAGGCTTTAACCAGATGTTCTCAAGATCGTATGGTGACTGGGAACCAGTCCAATGCGGAAACATGTGGCTGACCAGCTCGCGAATACGCGTTCTCTGGCGGCATAATCTCCGTAGACCTCGTCGTAAAGTCTCACGGTCTTTTCTAGATGCGGCGCGAATCGAGGAAATTTTAGTACGATTTGAGAATAGATCTCGGGAGTGATATCGTCTCTCAGATGCACCAAGAGGTCCGACTGTAACAGGCATTGGAAGATGGATAGGTACTCGAAACGAGCAGCCCATGGACTTAGATCGTCGCGGAGCATGGTAGAGAATGTGACCGAATTGAGTGTGAAGGGTAAATATTTTGTCTCGTCAGCGATGGATCGGCAGGTATACATCAGTGAGAGTTCAATGAGACTCCCATCGGCGGTTGTGAGCTGTTCTGATTCGGCGTTAAAGGCGTATCCGCCTTCTGCCGTGAAGTAGTAGCAGAAGATTGCACGTCGGAGCTCATAGGGGAGAGTGAGGAGATTGGTCGGACATGGCGTGGTGTTGGAGGGTGGTCGTGACACTGGAGAGTCGATGGATGTCATGGTGGCAGCCTCCTCGATAACGAAAAAGCCTATCAAAAGCAGGGAAGATCGTTGCACTTGTGCCCAGTTTGAATCACTGATCATCAGCGAGGGAAGGAAGAGAAGGAGGCCCCCGTTTTCAAGCAAGGTGAAAGAAATGGCTGGTTCTCTCCGGAGATACGGGATGGTAGATGTAAGTGGGTTACTGACTGGGGTGTGAAACTTCAAATTGGATCGTGCCGCTTGGTAATGATGGGATTTTTATCCTTTACGATCCATCTTTTGCTGGGGCGGGGTTATTGAGCTGTCCATGAGTCATCAGGCAACCAAAAGTTAAGGCTACACACTGCGACTTTTGATTGGACGGCGCTGGGATAACCAGGCCACGAGCGCCTGAGTCCTCAGATGTCGAACAACAGGGTCGACAAACCGTCGAGGTCGCGAGTAGACTTTGGGCTGGGATTTTGGCACAGAGGTTTCCAGGGAGGGGGGGTTAACTTCTGAGCAACCCAACGGAAATAACACAGCCACACACAACTAGGTCCTATATCCAAGATTCAATGACACAGTGATTAGCTTAACATATGCAACACACCCGTAACACACAACCAGGGGAAAAGACTCAACCTACGGCAGTTGGTTCTGGATACAGCCATCACCCAGCGAGACGTTCTACTTGGGGACTTCAACCTCCAGCATCCCCATTGGGGCGGCGATCGAGTTGGCACGAATGCTAGCGACGGGAAGCGCCTCTACGATCAGTTTGTTACACTGGATGACATGAGATGCACTACACCACGGGGCGCCATCACATACTCTCGATCGGTAGATACGGGGACGCATTTTTCCACTATCGATCTTACATTCGTCAGCCATAGGCTCGCGGACCGCGTGCTGCACTGTGAGGTCCTTTCCTTTCCCGGGTTTGAGTCTGACCGCCGTCCCGTGCAGACCTCGATCGATTTGCCCGTCTGTCGGGATGACAACAGACGGTACCGCTGGAAGAAAATGAACAAGCGAAAGTTCCGCAAGGCTATCCGCATCAACATGGAACGGCTTGGCTTTCCTGAATTGGCCACTATAGCCGCAATCGACGACTACACGAAACGCCTCACAAGCCGCGATCGAGCAGGCCGCCACTCCTTCGAGCCAGTGACCAAGCATCTGTTGAGGAAGAATTAGTTCGTACAGCATATGCTTCCTTGGCAAACATGTTTTCTGTGACTTGAGACATTGCTTTTGTCGGTTATCACACGGCTACTCGCCTCATAATGAGGGAGCTCCCCGATGCCGGGATAAAACGTACATATATACCTGCAGCTCCTTCCTGATGTCGACCTTGATCAGAGCCAAGCCCCAGTAACAGTCTGATTCTCATTCATTGTTCTTCATCACATCATTCGCTTTAACTCAGCCATGGCGAAAACAACGTACTATGCCGTTTACAATGGCGTGAAGCCTGGCATCTATACGTCCTATGATGAAAGTAAGGAACAGACTGATAGGTTCTCCAAGAACAAATGTGAGTTTACAACACATAGTCAAGTTTTCGCATAGGTAATGACTTCTTATGAAACAGACAAAAGTTTCTCGACCTGGTCAGACGCACATGGCTGGATGGAAGACTTGAAGAAGAAGGAACAAGAGGAGAATAGAAGGTTGGAGGAGAAGAGGAAACAACACATGTTGAAGGAGGGAACAGCGCAAAAGCGGCTCGAATCAGAGCCAGAGGAGGCTCCCGACTTGCTCCGACAGACAGGAGTAGAACCTGGAACCATCGAACATCTCTTAGACCTAGCAGATCGTCGAGCATTTCCCGCCGCTCACGGCAAAGCCTCTCATCAGTCCGACGCCGGGCCAAGTAATCATTCGACTGACAACATCCCGGCGAGCTTGGAGGCGACTGAGGGGTCGAGGGGCGCCGAGAATCAGTCGGCGGGCTTTGCTTCTTCTTTGGACACTGACCTGGACGCGCGGCCTTCAAAGAAGCTCAAGCTATCTGAGGAGGCCGATAGCAACGATGGAAACAGAAAACCCATCCCGAATACCATTCGCAACAGCAACTCCCGCGGGCTCCCCTCGTTCCAGTACATCCATAAACTGATTTGGCGCGTAAATGAGATGAAAGCAACGTTCACTCCCGAGAAGAAGGCACACTTGAGATTGGTGATGAGCATGATTGAGTTCTTACTGGGACGTTTGGTTCATGAGTAGCTGATAGTAGTTCAATACTCGTCTTAAACCTGTTTTCTAATCTGTTCATGGTCAAGACTTGTGCCATCGTTCGTAGTCTACACCAGACACCGCTCGCGTAGGGTTTACAATCCTATCAGCATCACTCATGATAACTCTGGTAAATATCCGGGGCGTTTTGAACCAGTATGCAAGGCCCTACTATCTCAGCACGAGTAAGAAAGTATGTTCTACTTCGCCGTTACCGTGGTTCCGAGGATGCACATGTGTTCAGCAGGTGTCACAAAGCCAGACTCCCAAGACACACCAAGTCTGCTGGGGGGTTCCCTGCTTATCTCTCCCTACTCTAACGCTGAGCCGTGCACAACAAGGTGTTAACCGGTGTCGTTGGTGATCGATATCACGGCATTCTAATAATTGAAATGATGAATGAAGCAAACGAGCCACGCGGAATTCATGCATCAAGACACTTGTGAAGCGTGGACTAGATCCTTTAATGGTGGATGGGCAGCATAAAGAAGAGAGGATAATAGATAATACTGCTATTTTCTTAGAGTACTTATAAGATATGGCCGTGATATTGACTGATGACCAAGGATCGGTTCTTATCATCACTCATGACGGGTTTTGGATCACTACTTACAGCAAGTAATTAGCACTCTATCGGTTAGTTTTTGGCCTTTGACACAATATCGGACTTGGCTTGGCCTTTCAAGGAGAATGTCCCTTGACTTTTATGGGGACAACTCAGTGACAGGTCTCGAAGATAAGACAACCCTAGTGACAAGAGAAGAAGAGAAAGTTTCCAATGCATGCCGGTACTAAGATCAAGAGCTGTCAATTACTGATTGCTGCCCAGGGACGCTTCTCAGCGCAAGTCCTGGCGTGACATCGTAAACACCCAAGGAACAAGAGAACTCCGACGGGGCCTCCCTTTCACATCAAATTACTATTTAGATCTTTCATTCCATTAAGTATAACAATGAGAGATAAACTACTGTTGAATGAATCTGTGCTCCTCTTCCACGTATTGATCCTTGAGTTTGAAAGGTGGGCAAGGAAGGAGAACGGCGATTACCCGAGCGCGGTGCTCTTTGGAGGCGTTGATCCACCTGTGCATGGTTGCACGCTGGATAATATGGTCCTGTGGAAGTAGTAAACTCGTTAGTCAAGGTATCGTGAAAGCGTGGAAAGCAACTTGAAACGAGAGGTAGATGGAGTATCATAGCTGGCAGAGAACCATAGAACTTACCCCAGCTCTCAGTAGAACCTTTTGTCCACTATCAAGTTCGTGGTAGACCTCACCCATCACGCAGGTCGAGATGTCCAGAGACACGGTCCTGTGCATATGCCCTACCGCACCAGGGTCAAGATCTAGATTCACGACATTGGCACCTCCCAGTTCCATCTCGCCCGTATGAGGGTTTAGCTTGGTAGGGGGCACGATTATTTCTTGCCTCGTGCGACCGACAACCGACTCATGCGATAGATGCGCCTTTAAATCCTCGTCATCTGTGAGGTCGGGTGCCAATTTCGCTGTTGCATAGGAGCGGGCTGCTGTGCCAAAACCTGGCACTGGGAAGTAGTGTAGTTCAGGGGCGTCGACATAAATGCTTTCCCCGATTTCACGATCATGGCCTGTTATATAACGCTTGATAGGCATGTCTCTGGTACCGTTCGTCGGATGCGAATTTGTCGGAGAGGGATCCATTAGGTTTCTGCAGCAAGATTCGAGGTGAGCGCTTGAAAGCTGCACTTCGTCAGAAGATAGGTTATCAGGATACTCTAAGTAGCCAAACTTTTTGGTAAGCGTATGCAGATAATTGCCGCCCAGGTATTGCACTTACATATCTTGGGGTGCTGACTTGGGTGAGAGGCCACCTTTGCAGTTCCTCCAGATGCCCCACGACATGGGGCCGTACCGACGACTGCTTTTATTTGGATCAAGCTGGAGTCACACCTCGCGGGTCCCAGCTCACTTAACTCCATGGGATTGGCCACAAGGAGCCGGAATGGCACCAAGAAGCGATGTAAACTTGAACCCTTTTCGACATGGTGGTCAGTTCAATTCCGAGATGTGAATTCCGGAAAACCCTCGTCTACTACTCGAGTTCAGAATCTATGCATTAAGCTAATCATTTGATGCAATGTCTCTGTATCATAGCAGCAAGGCGGTTGACACAGGGCCTCTAGTCCGTCAGCAACATCACTATGCGACTAAACAGAGCATTTGTTATTTTATTCTAGAAACTTACATTTCCAAGGCAATGAATTCATTCTGCAAATTCCGCCCGCTTTGTTGTCGTCATCTGTTGGACATTCTCCTGTCCTATTGTAATACGTTCCGGGCTGGCCGGAAGACGGCCGGAGAGTGTTCCGGAGACATTCCGTGATGTCGATCACCACACCAACGATAATATTAAAACAGGCCTTACTTTGTCATCTCTGAGCTTTGTAAACTGCCTCATGGAAGCCAATCATCAATAACTTATTCCAAAAATGATTCTCGAGCTTCTAATCCCCCATTCCTTCGGCGTCGCCATTTTATGGCTCCTAGCCGGCATCCTTCTCCGTCTTCTTGTGAACAAGTACGGACAAGGCTTAAACAAGATCCCCGGCCCGTGGCTAGCGGGCTTCACAGACTTATGGAGACTTTTTATCGTCCGAGGGCGTCGAGCCCAGGAAGTCCACATCGAACTGCATAAAAAGTACGGTCCAATGGTTAGACTGGGTCCGCGAGCCGTGTCTGTAGCGGATCCAGAGGCGATAAAGATCATCTACAGCCCAAGTTCTGGATACTCAAAGGTAAAATCTGGGACAATGAACTCACGTATGGCATAGTTGGTTGCTAACACTACACGTCCAGTCGGGCTTTTACCCGGTGCAGCAAGCCTTGGCCAAGGGGAACAGACTCGAGACCATGTTCAACACGGCCAATGACAGTTACCATGCAAGGCTCCGCAGATCTGTCTCGAATGCATACGCAATGAGCACGCTCGTTGCTTTTGAACCGTTTGTCGATTCGACCTCGACCGAGTTTCTCAAGCAGCTAAAGCTTCGTTTTGCCGACCGGCCAGGGGACGAGGGCATTTGTGACTTTGGGGCTTGGCTTCAATACTATGCGTTTGACGTCATTGGTGAACTGACCTTTTCTAAGCGGCTTGGTTTCGTCGAGACGGGCCGTGATGTTGACAACATTATTCGAGATTTGGAAGGCTTCCTGAACTATGTGTCATGGGTGAGTATTCATTCAGCCCCGATTACAAGAGTAACTTGCTGACATTTAATGTCTTGACAAGATTGGCCAAATTCCTTTCCTCGACCGCTTGTTCATCAAGAATCCGATCAAGATTTGGATGGCCAAGAACGGTCTCCTCAACTCGAGTGCTCCTGTTGCAGAATTTGCAAAAAAGCATGTCGTCGAACGCCAACGCGAAGAAGAATCAGGGAACTCGAAAACTCCGAGAAGAGACTTCTTGAACCGGTTCAAGGAAGCGCGAGCCAAGGACCCTGAGTTTATCACGGAACAACTGGTTCTCGCCTTGACAGTCGCAAATATGTTTGCGGGATCCGATACGACCGGAATAACAATGAGAGCTGTCTTTTACTACTTGCTGAGGGATCCATCAAAGATGGACAAATTGCTTGATGAGCTCGCCAGGGAGAGCAAGGCTGGGAGGTTCTCAAGAGAAGATGGGCTAGCCCAATGGGAAGAAGTCAGAGACTTGCCGTATCTCAGCGCTGTGATCAACGAGGCTCTACGCTGTCATCCTGCCGTCGGACTTACAATGGAAAGGATAGTACCACCAAGCGGAGTCACTATTGCTGGTCATTTCCTACCAGGCGGCACCATCGCCGGATGTTCTGCGTGGGTCATCCATCAAAACGCCGAGGTGTTTGGATCTGATGCCGCGGACTTCCGACCTGAACGCTGGATAGACGCGACTCCAGAGCAACGACGACGAATGAACAATTGTCTGTTCTCCTTCGGTGCGGGAGCTAGAACATGCATCGGCAAGAATATTTCATTGCTCGAGCTCTACAAGCTCGTCCCGACAATTCTTCGGAGGTTTGAGGTCAGTAATCACACAAACTTATGAGGTAACGAAATCTGACGTTTGACTTTGTTCTAGCTTGAGCTGGTGAATCCAGAGACGCCCTGGAAGCTGCATAATGCGTGGTTTGTGAGACAGGCAGGCTTCAATGTACGACTCAAGGAAAGAGACCAAATCATCTGAGCATTGAGATGCCAAGAATGAGTTGGAAACTACATAAATGTCAGGATCTCAGTGTTCAAGAGCAAGGAGCTGGATACACTGATGTCCTAGCAAGAGTTTATGTACTTTCGTTCTCCTCTAACAGGATTGTCCTTGGATTGTGAGGCATCATCTTTCAGCTGGTGTTGGGTACTGCGGAAAGGAAGAAAAAGCAAAGGGGTTTGACTTGCCCGAAAATTTCTGAAATAGTGGTGAAACCCATATTACCTCGGTCTACTACGTAGTGTAGACCGGCCTCGCTCCAACCGACTTGAACTCTGATAGCATCTTTCCTTGGTGAGCGCCTTTTGTTGTGGAAAGAAACAACAATGCAATCGTTCTATTCTCAGTGCGGCTGTAAATCATGTTCAAAAGACGGCATTGTTAAGGGACCAGGCATCAAGGGTACAGCAGCTTGGTAAAGCTTGGTAAAGGTCTGCGTTGAAGACTACCAGTACAATGAATAGTAGATCCTTATAGTATATATAATAGACATAACAAGGGCTAAGACCCTAATAGCTTTCTAGTTCGCATCTAGACGAAATAAATAAATAACCTAGAGAAAGTAAGTATAGCTTCGTTGCTAGCAAGAAGTGCTATGGCAAGGGTTGTCAGTACGTTGTTAGGTGACAACTGGCAGGAACAGGCTTGACATGCCAGGCTCTCGATATGTATTTTCCCCTCTTCATCTTCTTTACCGGACGCTCCGGTTTTTCGACAGACTCAACACCTCATTGACTCACTTTTCGTCTCCATTCTCGTTATCACAGGATGCGACAGTGGGCCCATCATGAGCCGTTAAGGAGTCCTAGCCGCCGTCTTCGTTACGGGCGTCTGACGGCGACATTGTGTTGAAACCAAGCTAGGGGATGACAGAGAGGGGAATAAAGCGTGGCAAGCACGACGCAGATGGATACAGAGGGAAGTGAAGCTGGGTTCGGATCCTCGGCAGACAATTCCTACAGCCTAACACAAGGTTGCAAGGAATAGATCAAGACTGCTTACTGCACCTTGGTGCCGTAATGGATCCGCTTCCCCGCTTCCCCGCGAACTCGTTTCCCCGCGAGTTGAGGCGCAACTAGCGTCCGAGGGCGTTCCATGCCGTTCAAGATGGGTGGGAGGCTGACCTCGCTTGCCCGGCTTTTCGTGCGCTATTTCGCAGCTAGTCGTTACCCCAGATCAGGGAAGACTAGCCAAGCATTGGTGGGATTGGTTGCTGGCCTCGGGCATTCGGAATCCTGGACGGAATTTCCAGATGACCCTTGTCGGATGGAATAGAGTTTCGTGCTTCCAGAGTCCAGACCCATTCGCTTAGTCCTCTCAAACCAAGAGGGGACACATATCGGAGACCGCTTCTGTTTTACGGGTTAGCTGCTCAAGGGTCTAAGGGGCTGTGCCATTCAGCAAGTATCATCCTGGGCTTCACTCTTTTGTCTAATTTTCAATGGCTTGTCACGTGTGTAGAAACTCAGAGTTGTTCCAGATTCATCATTGACTAAGATCTCAAATGATAGACTGGGTTGTATGTTGACCCCTACTCGCGATTAAAGATAGTGGCCCATGGCCTCCTACTGTGCCGAGCCTGTCTAATTCACAGGCGAAATACCGAGATGCGGAAGCAGTCTCTCCCTAATGAAGTCCTCAGCACTGTGGAGTTTGACTCCTAACTCAATTACCTCGGGAGGCGGAATCTCGACTCCAGGGTACATGCCAACGTTGTTGTACAACTGCAACATGATGTCGCGATCTGGAATGCCACACGTCGGCTTCACCTTGTAAACGACCTTCTTCCCAGAGACTGATTCAATTGTATCATTAGTACACGTAGACTTCGGGCTTTAGCGTAAAGGACATACCCTTCTCGAGGACAGTATTGATCTGTCCCATAGTCTCGCGAGCCCCGCTAGCGAGAAAATATTTCCCGTCGAGACTGGCCTTTTTGGTCTCCCATTGATCAAAGACAGCCTTGCAGACAGCCGAGAGATCCTTTTCGACATAAAGTGACGTGACTAGAGCTCTGATCAACAATCTGACTTCTATAGCGGGGAGAAATCTACTAACGTTCGGCATCGGGCCCAATAATAGGCCGGGTCATGGTGATAACATCGGTGTCCTTGTCGTAAGAGGCGTATTTGCGCAAGATCATGTTTTCATAAAAGTTTCCAGTCCGGATAAAACACCCCTTGAGACCGGCTGCCCGGATAACGGCGTCGACGGATTGTTTGCCTGGAATTGGTTAGTTCATGCTCGCTCGTCCAGGGAGTTGATGTCTTGCCTTCATACAATCGAGTAACGAATTTGCCCCCGGAGATCTCATGGGAACTTGGCAGCGTGCTCCATAAGAAGCACTCAACACCTGCGGCAACTGACGCTTCTACAATATGTTGGCCCTGCTTTTCCTCGCTCATGGGGTCATCGAGGACGGCCTAAAAGGTGACACATGAGCATGCAATCCAACATGTGGATCCGAAGTGACCGACCGTATCATAGAAATCAGTGACAGCAAAGACGCCCCAGACATCTTTGAAGGCCTCTGGCAAGGTCGAAGGAATGGTCAAGTCCGCTTTGACCACCACGGCTCCCTGCGCAGCCAAGGCTTTGGCCTTGTCTGAACCTGGGTTCCTGGTAAGGCATCGGACTTGGTACTGTTGTGGATACTGAAGCAGCAGCTTTGCAACAGAGCCACCTGAAGGGATCAGCTAAACGAGTTGGGCTTGCTATCAGAGGTGCACCTACCCTGAGTACCGGTTGCACCGAGGACGAGAACGGTTTTCGCCATACTGAAGATGTTTAGTATCGTTGGGGAGGTTTCAACAAGCTTGTGTTCAAGAGGGTGCTAGCAATGAGGCTTCAAGGCAACTTTGAAACACATGGAACTATAGGAGCGAAGAAATAGAGTCTCTTAACACTCAGCATGAGTCTAGTCTATGTAGTTGTCCCCGCCATAACGCGTGGTACAAGAGGAGGCTGTGGGAGAGGACGAGATGGGGCACCACACTCTAGAATGTGGGGGACCCAAGAGATGGGGCACTTGCAACATGGGGCCGCGTCAATGGTGGGGCCTCTCGGCTCAGAGCATTGAGTTATCAATGCTGATATTGTGAAATGAAATTTTAGAAGACCTTGAACGTCTAACTTTCCTCCTCATTGTTGTTAATCAGTCTTTACGAGTTCAAACCCAGCCTCGACATCTTTGCAACCCCTACACAATGGCGGACAAGTTTCTTGCTGAGATCAAGAGCCGTCGAACCTGTTATTCACTCGAGGCCAAGTCTCCAATAAGTGATGCTCGAATCGTCGAGATCGCCTCTGAGGTGGCCAAGCATACCCCAAGCTCATTCAACTGCCAGGCTACACGACTTGTCATTCTCCTGAGAGATGAACACGTCAAGTTCTGGGAGATTGCAAAAGAGTGCTTCAAGGCTACCATGCCTGAGGCAACGTATCAAGAATATGAGAAGAAATTGCTGCAGCGCCAGGCAGGATACGGCACTGTGAGTGCACCTCCGAAGGCCCGCAAACTTCTTCCGTCAGGCAGTTTTTCTAATACTCGATAGATACTTTTCTTTGAAGATCTAGACGTCATTCGTGAATATCAGGTGAAGAATCCGCGATTTACGTGGCATCTCTTGCAGTTTTCTGAGCACAATAACGCAATGCAAGCCATTAACATGTGGACTGCATTCAGTCTTGAGGGCTTGGGGTGCAACTTGCAACACATTAACCCTATTATCGATCAGAGAATCATTGGGCAGTGGGACATTTCGCCTCAGTGGTCATTGAAAGCACAGTTGGTCTTCGGAACGCCTACTGGTGCACCAGCCCACGACAAGACAGTCATCCCGATTGAAGAACGTCTTTTCGTGCATGGTTCAAGCTCATAGGCACTCAAACTTTGATCCTGGCAAAGTCAACGGGCAATTCGACCCTGAAGGAATAGTCTTAGTCGCTGCCAAGTAAGATGAATAGAGTAGAGACATTTCTTGTTTGGTAAAGGTCAAATTCAGCCAAGTATTCAATCAATGTCAGCCCTATTCAAGTCTTGGCCTAGTAATCTCTGTCATCCTCGCCCACGAACCCACACATGGCCCTCAAGAGCCGAGAATAGCTGCATCCATCCCATTTACCAAAGCCATCCATCAAGTGGGCAAACTTTCTAGCCATTCTTCTTGCAGCGACATGCCCAAATTTCTGAAACTCTCCGCCGAAGGATATTGGGCCGCCCTGCTGCAAGAAGCTTTGTGGTGTATTCGACACGGCTGGTGCTCGTTCATGCTCTAATGGTGAGCTAGGGAGAAGCAGCCCCGTGACAGCTCCCAGGCCCTCATCTCTTATTAGGGCCCAGTCGATGTCTTGCAGCAGCTCGAATGTGGGGGCACCCAGCGGAACACTCTCATGGCTAGATACAAGAACGTACTGGCTGATCACCAGCGCAGACACAAAAAGGACAAGGTCAGGCCGAGTCAGATGTGATTCGCGGATTCGTGACGAATCCAAAATGTCAAATACTTGTGCTGCATGGAGTACTGCCCTTCGAGCGCTCGTTGATCGGGACCATTCCACAACATGGACTAGAGCTGCTGAAGCAGCCTCCAAGCCATCACGACCGGAAGCAATTTCGAGCAGGTCTATATCCGCAGTAAGTGTTATGCACAGATAGTTCCAGCCCAGCGCATTCATTCGATTCCTACCACTCAGAATGCTTCCATGAGTAGCCGGTAGCAGGAGGACATCAGACAGTACGCTCTTGGCCTTGCTATCCATAGCAAACGCCTCGATGGGACTTGTAAATTGACGCAGCTCCAGTCGCCAAGTCTTCTCCAAAAGCCTAGAGCGAGTAGCCATAACCTTGAGGTAGAGTGCGCGAAGTAAGATCTGGGCCGAGGAGTTGTTGAGAGTTGATGGTGAAGTTGCGTGGATATTGCACATGTTGAGCCGCGGCATTGTCAGCTGTCCGCCCTGTTGGGTAGCCTGTAGAAAGCTTGCAGATGTTGTTGAACCATCGAATAGTTCATCATCACACGGAAGATGAAGCTCCATCTTGTCTATGTCAATGACTCCCGATGTGTTCATGAGGCGGGCATATGCCATATCCAGCCAGGTGAAACAAAATATCAGACTGAATCCCATTAGTTGATTGACTTCATTAAAGAGTGGAACGTACCGTTTGATAGACTCGACCCTTGCCCAGGCTTTCCAAAGGCTACCCGAATCTGAAGGGATCTGACGAATCTCAGCGGCTGGATCGCCACCTTCATTCGCTGCAAAGAGGCCCTGTCTATCCGCTATCTATTGACAGAAAGCTCATTCAGCGGTCTATCGGGTACAGTGCGACACTTTGTCAAGGCTTACACGAAGCATCTCGGCACAAACCATCTGTGCCTGACACTCATCGATTTCATCCTGGCTTTGTCAGTGGGAGTTCGACATGGTGTGGGAAGCAAATCCATGCGCAGGAATTTCATACACGAAATCCTAGAGCGAGATACGCCACGATCAACATGGATGCAAGAGTTGCGAGTAGCTCGGATGGCGCAGATTGGCCGACAGCCCGGTATGTCAGGTCGCCAAGACAGACACCCATCAATTTCTAAAGAGTAGATCAGCACTTGGGTCGTCAACATTGATAGGAGGCAAGGATGAGAAATTACTTGAAGGTACCGACCGATAAAAGCTTTCGTACGCGTCCGGTCTAAATAAGAGAGGCCAACCAGGCACATCGCAAGCAAAAGCGAGCTTGGAGTATTTCCTGCATCAAATGTGCTCTTGTGCATGAAGGGCAAGATTGGATGAAAGAACTGGAAGAAAAAGTCCAAACTGGAGTTGAGAATCTCTACAATAGGGAATGTAAAGTCTGGCGTGTGAGTGGATGGATTAGAGGAGGCCTCGAGTTCTTTGCAGTACCTCATCAGGCGACTCCTGCATTGTTCGTCCATATAACGCGACGACCGGTTATTATTAGGCGCACAAGACGTGGGATTGTGGCTGAGATCCTGTGGTGTCGTAAAAATATTGTCTGCCTTGTGATGAACAACTTCTTTCCACAGACGCCTAATAAGACGAGGTGCCATCTTGGGCGTTTGCCTAGACCATACGCGTTGTATCTGTTGCACCCGTCCCGGAGAAAAGAGCATCGGAATTCTGTTGGTCGTTTCGCTATCGACGACCTTGTTGCTAGGAGAAGACATCGATAATGGTAATGCGGAGTTTGTGAAGTTGGGGTAGTCCATTGACTCCATCATGTTAAAACTCAACTGAAAGTCGGTGGGTAGAGATATGTGCCCTCCACCGAACGGAAACTTTTCAAAGTCTTCATTATCGCGAGAAGAGTCATGTTGGTTATTCCCTGTAAGCTGAAAAGCTGACTCAAGCTCGATGTCTAGTTGCGACTCGAGCATCTGAGAAACCTCAAAGGGCAAACGGCCTCCAGGACTCTCCCGTTGGTCGCTTTCAAAATCTCTCGTTTCTTGACTTTGCAATAGTTGCTGACGCGGGGATTCCGGCTTGTCAACATGGAGGCTACCAACGGGGTCCGGGGCACACCAATCGTTTGCACTTTCGGCGCTGGCTTCGGAGCCAGCCACACCGTGGGGGATAAGATCAGGTACTTGCTGCATAATGTGGCCATCCTCGAATACAACTCCAGTCAGACCATCTTCGAGTAGAACATCTGGTCTCTGAAGCTCGGCAGAAAGCATCATTATGTCTATGCCTGGATCGGCCACAGTATGTGATGGTGATTGTTGATGAAATGTTACCAGAGTTGGAGAAGGGACACCCGATAGTAAAGACTGGTCATGAGAGGGCTGCTGGTGGTTTCTGGGCAGCTGTGCACTGGGTGTCGCCCTAGATCGTCGCGCAGCTGTCGATATGGATATTTCGTTGCCTCGAGTCGAAATATCACAGCCTTGGGCATTGGCATCAAGCGATTGCCGTCTAGTTTGGTCTCCAGGACGTTCGGCCTTGGACGCCTCTGCGTACCGGTGGCTGATATCAGCTTCCAAAGAATGGGTTTGTAGATGACGGAAAAGAACGTCACTTTGCACGCGGGTCAGCGACTATTTCCCATATGACTCACAATAGGGCGTGATTACGATTCTCACCTTCTAGCGTAACTTTTCCCACAAGTGCGGCATTTGAAGGGCTTCTCCCCCGTATCTATAGCTACGTTAGCCACCATCCTAAGCCTATAACACCTCAGAGGAATTGATTCAGCATACGTGCTCTCTGATGGCGTCTTAGATGCTCTTCTTTGGTAAATACACGATCGCAGTATGCGCACTGCCTGAGTCTACCTCTTGGGCGAATGGCGTGACTTGGCATGATGAGATCAACTCACACCAGAGACTTTCGGAGATTTTTGCCTGGGTTGTAAAACAATTTCGAACAATCTCTAGAGAATCCGAGCATCGATAGGGAATTGTGTCATGCTCTCTGTCAATTACAAGCTCCTCCACACTCGTCATGGTCGTGATCGGAATTACTGCCGAAAATCCGCCACCATTCCGGAACAAGGCAGCAAGAACCCCACCTCACTTTAACACCCAGGCATTTGGCCAGACACGGCCTCATAGGTAACCTCGGAATCCTACCGTATATGCTGAATCTTATCTTCTCTTGAAGTACCACCTGGTCCTTCACCTTTGAGTAAACAATTCCCGGTTAACCTAAACTCTTTGACAAGCGATACAAGATGTTTGATTGGGACACGGATTCGTTCATGTCCGGATGGGACAAAAAGTATGTCTCTACTAATGTCAAGGCCGAGGCACGAGCGTACGATAGAGATCTCTTTTTGGGACTCAACTCCAAGTTGGCCACTTCTCATCCCGAGTTGCAGAGCTACAGCCATGCAATTATTGTGAGTACCGATTGCCTAACTACTACTATCCAGCCCTATATATCCGAGACTACTGACATTGGAGTTCAACAGGCGGCGGCATGCTGTGCCGTTGGTCGCGCAGACGTTGTCGGGAGATTCTTTGACGATGTCACATTCGATTCAACTCCAGAGATATCGGAAAAGACATTTCTTTGCCTGAGAGAAGCCATCACCATCGTCTTCCCATACATTGGAATGCCTACCTGTATTCCCGCATGCTATGGCATGATTGGCGTGGTGCAACGAAAGGGGCCTGCGTATGCCTCGACCCGAGTTCTCCGGAAGACCACAATCGATGAGGACGATGTAAAAAAGGGCCGCGAACTTCGCTCCCGAATCTACAGCGGAGTCGGCAACTCGGACATTTTCAGCTTGATGGACAAATACTTTACAGACTTGTGTAAGTTGGCCACCGTACATGATTATGAAGGCGTCGTTTGACTGACCTGATGGCTCTAGTCACCTGCTCAACAGTTGTTACATGGGGGTATCTCATCTCAAAAGCCAACGAAGAGGTTTTCGAACCTCAGCAGTCGCACTTGATCATTGCAGCCTCTATAGCCGCATTGGGGGCCACTCGACAGACAAAGAGTCACATCAAAGCTACACTAGGTATTGGGAACTCGGTTGCATGCGTCAAGAGCGTTCTAGAAGTTATCACAACAATCACTGAGTGGGCAGGTCGTTCTATTAGTACTTTTGATGTAGATGCTCTTTCTGAGGAGATTCAGAAGGCACTGAAGGGATAATGGCTTCCATCCTATCAGATATGGCATGATAGACTAGATGCTTTGTAATAAATGAGGAGATGTAAAGATTATTGGTTCATTCCTGTGAGAAACCGAGCGGTAATTATTCCGATAGCCAGGTTAGTTACTTCGGCACATCGGTGAGTTGGGGTCGTTGAGCCAGGAACATCCAGTTCCCTCATTTCTCTCAAGACTCTGGGACTGTAATCTTTATTCTAGTAAAAGTATTTCATGCAGGCTTGTCATAATGAATCACCGATTTCCCTAGGTAAACTCCCGTTGCTACTAGTAGCAGTGTACCTTGTGCTTTTAGTTGAGCAACTTGATACGGACCCCCACCGGAATTTCGGTTATTATAACGGTTGAATCGGGGTAGTTTTACCCCGCCATCAAACACGGTGTGTGGGGACGTGTTCTCATTGGTTCTTCACCTTCACTCTACCAGGAGTCTCGCGTCTCGCGACGCGCTCACCATCCTCTCCCGACGGAATCAGGTATTTCACATACGGCTCACTCAAGCTCAGTGGCCCAAGTTTCAAAGTTGGGCAGCTAAGATTTGAATCAACGGTTCATTTGGCTGTAAAGCTTGGCCGATTTATGTCAGGTTGTTACTGGAAACAATTATGTACATTTACTTGTGACCGACGGTGCGGAACTGGGCATTACCACTTTGCCCATCGACCCATACTCTCCGCCGACCTTTCCGGGCCATACCGAAACGCGGAAAGATGTCCCCAGTATGAGATGACTCTCATCAGCAGATATCGGCCCCACTGAAGACAACACTATGGCTTATATCTCATTCATATCCGATGTGATACTGTCCTTTTGCTTAAAGTGAAACAGAGGCTCACCAGCATTTCTCTCTTGTTCGGGTTACCACCAGCCGAAACTCTGCATCGCATCGCGAGCTTCATTTGTGCTCGACTTTCTCCATCGACTCAAAAGGGCTTTCCCCTCTAAGCCCTGCAGCATTCTCTTCCCATCAGTTTACCTCTTCACAAGAGTCAAAATCACAACAATGGAACCCAAGCGGCCCGTGGCGGGATTTCGGAACTATATTCCGCCTAAGGATGTTCCAAGAAGCAAGGAGCTCGCAGCGTCCGACACCTACCAGTGGGCCAAGCTGCGCTGTTCCGAGCCCTTCATGATTGGTTGGATGAAGGCATGGGAGGAGCTCTATCACCAACCCTACAAGGGAATCACCGTTGATGGTCATGTAATCCCCAATATCTATCATCTGGCAGATACGGAGGAGGATTTTGGGGCCCCGGTGGTTCAGATGACTACTGCAGCGCAGCATGCCATCGACGTTGCGTCGGCAGAGGAACGAAAGGCCCTCCTGCAACCTGTCGATGCACCGGAATGGCGGAGTTGGATCAACCCCGAGATTTACGCCTTCAGACACGGTGTTCGACTTGAAGAGGCGTCCAAAGAATTGGTTGCTGGGCTTCATGCTCTAATGCGAGCAAGTCTGTCACCGGCTGGATACGAAAAGGCTCATGGCTGCATGAAGGTCAATCAGTTTCTGGGCGAGGTCGTCGATGGTACAAAGGTCCTCAATGAGAACTCTTACAACTTTGTCATATTTGGTACGCCCTTGGTCAATGAGCCATGGGGCTGGCAACTCTTTGGTCATCATCTCTGCATGAACTGCTTCGTGGTTGGAAAGCAGATGGTGATATCACCCGTTTTTATGGGAGCAGAGCCAAATGTCATCGACGCAGGGCCTAACAAAGGGGTTGAGCTATTCATCGATCAGGAGCAGACCGCACTACATCTCATGCAGTCGCTGGACCCGGCTATTCAAAAGGCGGCGCAGATCTACACGAAACTAAACGGCTCCGAATTTCCGGCCTGGAGGCATCACAGGGCCGACCAAAGACACTTGGGCGGCGCCTTTCAGGACAACCGAGTGGTTCCATATGAAGGCGTGAAGGTGACGACACTCTCCGAGGCCCAGCAGAGCGTAATTCGCAAGATAGTCGCCATGAGCCTCAACTACCTACCGGAAAAGGTATTGGAGGCCCGGATGCAGGACATTTCTGCCCACTGGGATGAAACATGGTTCTGCTGGATTGGCGGATTTGAAGATGGAGATGCTTTTTACTACAAGGTACACTCCCCTGTCGTCATGGTCGAATTTGATCATCATTCGGGTGTCTTCCTGAACAACAAAGAGCCTTTGCCATTCCACATTCACACCCTGGTTAGGACTCCCAACGGCAATGATTATGGAAAGAAGCTGCTGGAACAGTACCAGCAGCGCAAAGGCAATGCGCCCTCTTAGACCAGTTAACTAGTTAGACTCTGAATGAACTATGAGCGTCGTATTTCCAGAAGATAGGTGCCGACAGTTGAATTTGCAAATGCTCCCAGGTGGCGCACGAGGACCGACCACGCATTCTCGCATGTCCAGCAGCAGCGAGGTTGCATGTATGCCTTAGTAGCCACAGCAACGTGTAATCCGAGTCGTGCGCAGACGATTAGGCCTTGATAGTAACGAAAGGGTGACTCGTCAACGAACTTTGACAGATGAGAGAAGCCGGAAAACCTTAGCCCCAAGGCTCTATGAGAGAAGCGAGATGTAGGTTATGATCCGATTGCCATGAGGTCATCCACCATGATCCAAACCTCCACCAGACACAAGGCGGACTGTAGTTAAGTCCAATCAGACCTCGCACGCTATCATCTCAACCACGACAAGATTGAAATAACGTTGGAATAACGTTATTATGCACGTTGGGCAAACTCAACCCCTATTTCCGTAAAATCCGCCGCATAGAAAGGCTTAGATCCGGACTTGCGTCATTGATGATTAGGAAACACAGTCCACTCTTGCTTCTGTACGAGACGATGAGGTTCTCGAAATTAATATCTGCAAGTGAAAATTACTAGAAAAGGAAAGGAAGTGTGGATATCAGCTCCAGCAAAGTGATTTATGGCCAGTGTCGATGTCGAATTCGAATATAAATATCACTTGTCTCCCAAGCAACTTCAATAAGGCTGCACAAGAAACTTCCAACAACTTCATCAATCCTTGTCGATATAAATCATTCTATGGAATCTTCCACTGTTATTATTACCGGTGCCAACCGCGGTATTGGCCGAGGCTTCGCCAAGGTGCATCTCGCAAGGCCATCTACCACCGTCATCGCCGCTGTTCGAGACGCAACACATGCCACTTCGAAAGCTTTGCAAAATTTGCCCAAGGCAGATAGCTCTAGGCTGATCACCATTCAACTTGACTCGTCCATGCCAGAAAGTACGGCGGCAGTCATTGAAAAGCTCAAGACAGATCACGGCATAACCTCCCTCGACATCGTCATCGCCAATGCTGGGATCTCTCTCAACGCCAGTCGTGTTCGCGAGTCTACCGTCGAAAACATCAACCAGCATCTGCTAGTTAATGCGGTTGCCCCAGTTGCCCTCTTCCAGGCCGCTGCAGATCTTCTTCAGGCTAGTAAGACGGGAAACCCTACCTTCATTGCGATATCAACACTGGGTGGTTCCATCGCATCGATCGATGGAGTTGCCCACCTACCGCTTAGCCCATACGGTGGCAGCAAGGCGGCGCTGAACTGGTTCATTCGTCGTCTTCATTTTGAAGAACCGTGGCTTACTAGCTTCCTCCTTCATCCTGGTCTCATTGAGACTGATCTCACGGTTGCGGCCATGGAGGGAAGTGGTGTCAAGCTCTCCGATATGGGGGCACTGTCGGTCGATGCAGGCGTGGCTCAAATGATGAAGACAATCGACAAGGCTTCGAGAAACATTGGTGGCACGTTTCAAAGCTACAACAGTACCGAAATGCCCTGGTAGATGGGAAAGGGGGGCTGGCTGGAGGATGGGGAGGGCGCTCAGCGGGATCAGAGAGCATGTTGCATGCTAGAGGATTACTGGGGCTATGAGAAGATGACATATTGTAAGTGTATTAAGTTCAGGGCCACTATAGTAGGCTTTCTCTTAGTGCATGAGCTTCACCCTTCTATCCAATCCACTGATTCCTCAGAGTCAAGGAGGTGGTTGCCTATGTCAATGTGATCACCAAGGTCCCTAGAGCAACCTTGTCCGCGGTTAAAATAACAAATAAATAAAAAGAGGCAAATTTCGGCGCGTATTAGAAAGGCGTAAAGTTATAGAGATCCCGGCAGTATTCTTCTACAGGTGTGACATGGAGTAATACTGACCTTCAGAGATCATGGCATTCCGGCTGACATGTGTGGAACATGCCCAGCAACGCAAATGTCTGAAGGCAAAACCTTATCGAGAACGTGCACATCGACAAAAGCAGCTCCGAAATCATCAAACAGATGCGGAGGCTGAGTCAGCCGAGCTCAACAATGAGCGTTCCCAGCTAGTGCAGGAGGCCAGCCTCGAGAACCAGACTTCCAAGTCTGATGAGTCCAGCCACAAAAGGTCCAACCACGGGGGATCCGACCACGAAGAGTTTAACCGGGTTGTCATACAGTCAATCGACACGGCGCTTGTTTCCAATCTCTCAGACTCGTCAAACTCTTCGCTAAGAGAGAATTGAAATTTAGATAGAAGTAATTAGTTAAGTATATTTATAGGCTTAAATATATCCCCTAAATTATAACTAATAGGATCTCTCTATTATCTTCTTAAACTCGCGATGCTTCCCCTTGTGTTATTTATCTCTTTGACCCATATCTTATCTCCTACCCCTAGATCTGCCATGTTTTCCTTCTTGTATCCGTTCCGGAACTCTACTTTGTTAAGCTATATCTAAAGAGCTATTATAATGCTACTATCCCTACGGATCGATGCGAAGGCAATCTATATTAACATTTTCAGGCCCTTGACAATCTTGTCCGAGCCTTTTCATAGGGGCCACGCGTTGAATAGAGCCCGGATAACCAATAGGGCCTGCCTTTCCCAACTCAGTTTCTATTTACAATAGGACAAATGATCTCGGTGCTATTGAGGAAGACGTTGAAACCTGGCGTAAAGAGGTTTGCTTTATGGCATAGCTCTTATGGTATATCGTATGCCATTTAATGGCTGAAGTTGAGCTCTATGAGAGAGACAAGGTGCAGGTCATGATCCAATGGTCACGAGGCTATCCACTGTGATCTGGACCTCCACTAGAAACAAAGCGGACTATAATTGAGTCCGATTAGACCTCCCACGGTATAATGTCAATCTCGATAATATGAGACCCTCTGCTATTCCTATTGCCGGTCTTCCCGGCCACTGCAAATTTTCTTCGGACTATTGTCTGGATAGAGACTCGGAGGAATTAATATCCCCGGCCCGCCTTGGCTGCGGTCCTGCAACGGTGTCTAGATGATTAGTAATAGGCTTCAGCTCTCTAACATCAAGAGGCGGCGTGATTGATATGCCGGCAGTGGGAAGCTCGGCTAAATTATATAACAAGTCGGTAAATAGAACGGAGATGATGAGTTGACACTTTTGAGTTGCGTGATGGCGACGGGATGATTAGATTTTGTCGCCGTGCTCCTTATCCCAAGATTGGTATAAAGACTAGGTAGCCAAGGATAGCGAGGTGGTGGTAAGGTATATTTCGTATCTCTGCACTTGAACGTTATTTTCCCTCATGTCTCTTCCCACCACCACCCCTGCCTGGCTTGTGAAGGACAGCGATGTAGGCGAGTTCCCCAACCTTGAACTCGTACAGGATGTCCCTATTCCCTCGCTTGGGAGCCATGATGTCCTCGTGCGGATTGAAGCCGTCTCGTTGAACTACCGAGATCTGATGATCGCCCAGGTGAGGATAAGATGTCGCCTCTCCAGATTGGGAAGTGGCTTTATGTTGACTATAGCAAGGGCACATACCCCTTCGGTTTAAAGAAACAACTTGTCCCCTGCTCGGACGGCGCAGGCATCGTCGTCGCCTTGGGATCCGAGACAACGCAATTCTCTGTGGGTGATAGAGTGTGCACACTCTTCAACACTTATCATCAGACCAACCCCTTGACCCCACAAGCGCTCAAAGCCACGTCGGGTAGCTCTGCCGATGGTACTCTCCGCAAATATGCCGTGTTCCCTGACTTTGGTCTAATCTTGGCCCCTCCATCACTTAATGCTGTTGAAGCAAGCACTCTCACTGTCGCACCCCTGACTGCATGGAATTCATTTTACGGTTTGCCATCAAAGACGATCAAACCTGGCGATTGGGTCCTGACACAGGGATCTGGCGGTGTTAGCCTTTCTGCCATACAACTTGCCGCAGCCGCTGGCGCCACGGTAGTCGCTACAACATCGTCTGAGGAGAAGGCGAAAACCCTGCGCAAACTCGGGGCTTCTCATGTCATCAATTATCGACAAACGCCCAACTGGGGTGAGGTTGCGCGATCCCTAACCCCGTCGGCTGTCGGGTTTGACCATATCGTGGAAGTCGGAGGCGGAGATACACTGAAACAATCCTTGAAAGCCATCAAGCTCGAGGGAGTTATTAGCCTTATTGGTGCCCTGGATGGCGGAAGCGATTTTCCTGGGCTGCCAGATTTCGTGCCTAGCTTTTCCATATTGCGAGGCGTTCTCGTAGGCTCGAAACAACAGTTCGAGGACATGAATCTGGCTATCGAAGCAGCGAAGATTCGGCCCGTGGTTGATCCTAAAGATTTTTTCTTCGACGATGTTATCGAAGCGTTTAAGTACCAAAAGGCGTGCAAGCATTTTGGGAAAGTCGTTGTGCGGTTCTAAAGGAAAAGACTATTATGTGACACGGTACTGGTTTGGGTTATGGATTAGTATTAGGCTTTGATAGATGGGAAAGGGGGTTGACTAGAGGATAGTGTCACGGCCATGACAGGGTCGAGGGCGGTAACGCCGGGCAGGAAACCAACCCTACTATATTAGCTAATCATAGGGCAAGAAGATATATAAGTTAAATAAAGTTAATTTAATTTCTCTTGACTATATAAGTTAAATGCCGATAACTTAACTCGACTTAACTATATTCGAGCTAAAGACTAGATAAATATATAAAATATACTTACTATACTTTCTTATATAATAATTACCTTAGCTATTAATATAACTTAGTTATACTTAATACCTTAAGTATATTACTAGACGTAATATTATATTACCCTTTAAGGTTATATAATATTCTCCTTTATTAATATAAACTAATATAACTAGTTTATCTCTTAGGAAATACCTTCTTATTATATATTAATAGCTTTTATTTATTAAATTACTTATATTACCTTAAATAATATTAAATATAATAGCTATTTAGGCTATTTCTAGTAATAATTACTAATAGGCTTTACCTATTAATTATTTACTTACCCCTATCGTATTAATTTAGGCTAACCTTAATAGCGACGAAGAAATAAATAATAATAATAAAGAAATTAAGTAACTTTATGCCTAGGTTATTATTATAACTACTAAAATAGAGGAACTTAGAGGACTTATTAACCGCATAGCCGCTACTTAGTAAGCTTAAAACTAATAATATTATAAGAATATCTAGAATATTAATAATATAATAATTATTACTATAAAAGGTAAAAATATTAGAGAAATCTTAAAGCTAGAATAATTAGAGAAGTTTAATAATATTATATATAAGTTATTAATATTCCTTATATAGCTATATATATTTATATTTTATTACCCTATATAATTTATTATAGTATCTAATAAGGTCTAATATGCCGCGGGGTATCTTATTAAGTATATTATAGCTTAATTTAAACCTATTATAAAGGAATACTTTATTAGATTACTTAATAAATACTCGCTATAGACTATAAACCTCTATTTTAGCTTTAAAGCCTTTAAAGCCGCGCTTTAATAAGCCTTTAAAATAATAAATAAAAAGGCCTAGGTAAAAAGAGAAATTAAGGTACTTTAATAAACTTATTTTATATTAAAATATAGTATTAAATACTTTTAGCTTATCTTAAAGCTTAATTAAGACTAAAAACTATTAATATCCTTTTTCTTTAATAAACTTAAGAAAGAAATATAAGCTAAACTCTATAAGGAAGACTAGCTTAATAACCTTATTAATTATATTAGCTAAGTAATTAAGATTAATAATTAATAATTTTCTTAAAAGAAACTCTAAAACCCCTATAATAATAAAAAAAAACTATTAGAAACCTCGGTTTAATACTAACTAAGGGTAATATTAATAAAATAATATATCTTATAGAACCTATATAAGACCTATAAAACTTAGAGTAACCTAATAAAAGAAATGCGATTATTATAGACTTAAATATTAATATTACTATAAGATAAATTATATTAAGAAGATTTACTATAAGAAATAATATAATATTAAGGAAGGTTATTACTAGCTATAATAATAGCGACTCCTTAAAGGCAAAAAGTAAGTAAAATTTATATAAGCTAATAATAAGCTATAGATAGCTCTTTAAATAACTAAAATACTTAATATAGCCTAGACTAATTATAATAATATCGGCCTAAAACTAAGAGAAATTATTATGCCTTATAGCTAAATATACCTTACTAAGGAATAATTTAGGCATAATAATTACCCCTAGCTAAAGCTATAATATATTATAATAAAACCCCTAAAGATAAAATAGCTCTACCTTATAGATAGGTTAAAATAGAAGCTATTACTAGAATTAATTAGTAAATATAATAAGGACCTTAATACTAAGACTATTATAATAATAAAATAAATTAAGCGATATTATAATAATCTTAATTATAGCGCCGGAATAAAGGCTTAGTAATAACTAGTAATAGCCTAGATTTAGAATTAATAGAATCCTAGGATAGATAATAATCTATAAAAGGAAGAATACTACTTATAACTCTATAATAAATAAAGAAACTAATATTAAAATATATTATAGAAATAATATATTTAGACCGCAAGGGAATATATAGATATTATTAATATATAAGATATATATATCTATATATATTACTAAATAATAATTAAGAACCTATTGAGTTAGGGGAGAGGCGTGCTAGGCCGTTTTAGGCCATTAGGCAATTTCCTATACATAGAAAAGGGCCAAGGCCGCGGCCCTAACTATTATTACTATTATCTTCTTTAAGGATCGGATTAAGAATAGGGAGCTTAAGGGCTCTTTTCTTAAGAAGATCTTTATTACTATTAATTAATTATTTGCCCTTATTATTTTATATAATATTTAATTCACGAGAAAGTATATAAAATCTCTTTTTTAAAAGTCATTAGAAGAAAATTATATAAGAAATTTTAGCTATAATTAATATATTTTATTTCTCTAATAAATCTAATGCCCCTATATAAGATCTTTTAATACTCTTACTTCTATAATTACTAAGATATATTACTCGAAGGCGATTTAATTAATTAGATAAAAGAGTATACTTCTATATTACTAATCGATAAACTATAAATATAACTACTACTATTAGGCTAGAAGAGAATAAAACGCTAAAAACTATTATAAGTAAGAAAAGAGTAGGAATTAGAGAGACCCTAAGAAGTTATTTAGTTAAGAAGGGAGACTAATTATAAATATATCTTATTCTCCCTTAACCCCGGATTTTAAGATATTATTTAATTAAATTCCCTTAAAGAGTCAAGGCTAAAATAGACCCCTAGAATACCCTATAAAAGGTAAATATAGGGAGATAAAGGTATTTGCCTATTATAGATAAGGAGAGGAATAATAATAATAACGCATAATTAAAATAGAAAATTATATTTCTTAATAAGACTAGTAATTTAGCCTTACTTAAGATGCCTAGAGGATTCTTAACTAAGCGGCAATAAAAGGTCTTAGTAATAAGAATTCTTATTTAGATAGTTACGAAGAGTAAGGCTCTTATTACCCTTATCCTTATCCTTATGATATTTAAGGAAGCCTCTATAATTAACCTACTCTATACTACTATGACTAAGAATCTTAAGATAAAAGACTATTTTTATTAAGGATTAATTAATTAATTACTTATTACCGCGACTACTATCTCCGCAATTATAGCTTAGAACGATAAAGGTATTAACCTCGGGAAGAGATCTAATAGTATCTAAGGCCAGAGTCTAGAGATAGGAGGTAATAAGGCTACCGAAGGCAATAATAAGGTTAATAAACTCCTCCTTAAGATCTTAACTAAAGGATTAAATAGTCCCTCTTTTATTATCCCTCTTAACCTATTTCCTCTCTTTAAGGGAAAAGATATAACTAAGTACCTCCGGAATTTTAATTAATAGGTAGAACTTATAAATATCTCTAAGGATAAGAAAGTAGCTCTTTTTAAGTTATATATTAATCTAGAGATTAAAAAGGAGGCCTAATAAGCTATAGATAGACTTAACTAGGAAGCTACTTAAGAGAGCCTAAAGAAAGCCTTCGCGAATAAAGATTCTAATTAATTAGAGATTATTAAAGAGAAACTAGAAATACTTAATAAAACCTATCTAAAGGTAGACTTCTATGCTATTATTAAATAGCTAAATAAGCATTAATATCTCTTCTAGTAGATTAATAGTAACTAAAAGATATCTAAGAGCTAATTTAAAGCGATTTATAAAATACTCCCTAAGAAGATTATTAAGGGTATTTATAAAAAATATAATAAGAATATCCGCGAACTTATAACTATAAAGTATTATATACTTACCTAAATAATTAAATAATACTATAAAAATAAGATTAAGATTTAAAAGACTTATTGCCCCTAGAGTAGAGAGGATACCTACCGGGTTACTTAGGCCCTAATTCCTCCTAGGAGCCTAAGCCCTTCTATAAAGATAACTAAGACCCTAAAGATCCTTAAGAAAGAATCTAATAAAATAATAACCTTAAAGATCGACTAATTAATAGCATAGCTTAGCTAACTTATAATTAATATAGTAAAAAGGTAAGAATCTTAATTATAATTAGCTTAGATCCTCGAGAGAGAATATAATAGGTAGGTAGCCTTAAGAGCGCCCTAGGCTTTTAAGATAAATATAATATCACTTAATTAGATATATAATAACTAGAATTTCTATATAACTATAATATATAAATTTAGGCGAGGTAGCTATTAGAATAATATAATATACTAGTATTATAGCGAGAGAAACTACTTCCTAAGTAACTATATAGACCTTACTTATAATAAGAGCAATAAGATCGCAAGTTATAACCTATAAGGTAGCGTAGCTCTCTTAGGAAAGTCTAATAAGATATTACCGCTAAACCTAATCTATGCCTTTAGGAGATTTAAGATCTATAAGCTAATTTATAACTAGCTAAGCCGCTTCCTAAAATTAGATATATTTCCTTTAGTTAAAAGGATAGAATAATTTAATCGCATAGGGATTAACTTCTAGCTAACCTAATAAAAAAATATTATAATCGATGACTAGATTAAAAAGAACCCTAAGGCTATAAACCTCTACCGACCGGCATATAAGTCCCCTATAGGATTTAATTAATTACTTATGGATATTATAAAGGGAAACTAGGATATCTTAGATAGCTAGAACTTACCGATAGGAACCTCTATTAATATTATTTTAGTTAATAAAGAGACTATGCCTTTTAATCGCACTAGAGAGCTTTAGATGCTTATTATGACCACTATAGCTATTAATGCTAATGTAAGGAAAAGGGTCTATATTAAGGATATCGCTAAAGCCTAAGAAGTAGCATAGCCTATTCGGAAGTCTATATTAGTAGAAAGAGCACCTATGACTAATAAAGAAAAGAACTAGAGATTTT